GCATATTGGATAACAGGTTATTCTGACCCAGTTGTTGCAAATGCAAATTAATACACCAAGCATGGAAAAAAAAAAGAACGAAGATTCCTTAAACTGGATCTACTGTAAGGGTTTAGCTATCTCATTTGTGGGAATATAACCAAAAAGAATGAACTAAAAAAAAAGGATATGTCAGTTATTTTCTATCAAAAATGTAAATTAAATAATGGTTGCTTCTTTCAAACATAGTGTTACAATATTAACATACCTATGAATTCCCAGCTTTGACCAGGTGCAGGCCTGGGTGTTGTATGCATTTCAGTAGTTAATCAGTGGGTAAAAGAAATTCATTCTCTTCTTTCTTTCTCTCTCTCTTACACACACTTTTAAATAAATAAAAGCAAATAAAATGTTTAAAAATTCTTACCTTATCCTAAGATTCCCATATCACTTGTTAAAAATTAAATCAAAATATATTATAAGCTTATATGAAAAGCATAGATATATATTTTAGTATAATAGCAATTAATCTTCAGCTCCATTGAGTGACAGAATTCATACAATTGACAGCCAAAATCAATATCCAAAAGGGAAATAATATGAAGGCTTTTCAAAAACAAAAAGTATAAGAAAAACTCGGTATGAGGGAAAATAACAAATCATTGATTCATGAAATCATGTTACTGAAGAAAAAACAACAATTTGATAGTCTGCAGAGTTATGAACAAAGGAAGAGAGAATCCATGAATTTGCAAAGGGATAACAGTAGAAACCATGGCATGATTAATCACACAGATATGTATCACAATTGTGGTGGTAGGTTCATGAGTCTGAGGCCATCAGAATTGTATAGAAGACACACACCAACGCACCCACATATGGATGAATCCATATACGCTGTTGAAGTCATGTTAAATAAAGAATAATAAAATATCACTATAGTCACCAGCACCATGGCACCCCACGTTAGTCTGTGACCTGAGGTGCTGGCCACCCATGTAGCAGTGATTCAAGTATTAGATGCTTCAATTTCAATCCGGTTCCCTGCAAATGTGCTTGGGAAGTTAGCAGAAGACAGCCCGAGTGCTTGCACACCTCACCCATGCTGGACACTTGGACAAAGCTCCATGTTCTTGACCTGCACCTGGCCACACAGTTATTCTGCTCATCAAATGGGGAGTCAACCAGATAAAGGAAGACATCTCTCTCTCCCTGTCTCTGTTTCTTTCTCTGTGATGCTAAATTTATATACATAAATAAATCTTTTAAGTTACAGAAGCAAAAACCTAAAATTTGGCAAAAAAAAAAAAAATCCGATAAGACAAAACAGAACTGTCCAGGGAAGCTTTCATAGAGAAAAGAAGGTAAAGAATTATTACAAAGATATTTTGGAAAATAGTTTAGTTTTTCCTTGTAAAACTAAAGTTCCATTATCATGTAGCCCAGAAATCTATTAGGTATTTGATCACAAAATAACGTCTCTAGACTTGTTTGTACAGGTTTGTACACTTCAAATGATGCTTAAAGATGTTTTACACACAAAACAGAGAATGACAATCACCATAACGAAAGAATACAAAGAACCTCATAGTAAAGGTACAATGGAAACCCTCAACAATGAGAATATTTATGCAAAAATGGACCAACTTGTTACTTTGCAACAATAATCTTGAATGCACATGTCCTCAAATTTCCAACCAAAGGATACAATCTGGCCAGATAAATTAAAAAAATAAGACCAATCTATTGGTTGTCAGCAAGAATCCTACTTTACCAAGAAAGACACAATCTGAAAGTGAAAGAATGGAATGAAATAGACCTCAACAGAAAAGCTATTAAAAGAGATGAAGGAGAACATCACATAATGATTCAACAAGAAGAAATGACCATAATACATGTACCTGCACCTGATGCCAGGACATCTGACTCTTTAAAACAATCATTGGTAGATTAAAGGTAGACACAGACTCTAATACAATAATAATGAGAGATTCCGATAGCCCACTTTCGCCATTGATAGAACAACTAGGCAGAAAATTAACAAAGAGAATATGGACCTAATCAATACTATGAAGCAAATGGACTCAGTTGATATTTACAGATCGCTTCATTCCTTAGATGCAGAATACACAGTGTTTTCATCAGTTGCTGCAATGTCTTCTAAGATAGACCATATGATATGCCATAAAACAAACATGAGCAAATCAAAAAGATTCAAGTTGCACCATGTATGTGTTCAGTCCATTAAGGAATGAAGGTGGAAATCAATAGCTCAAGAAATACTATAAAATATGAAAAAAAAATGAATGATATGCTACTGAATGCGAATTGGGAATAGACTTCAAATAGGACATTTAACAAGAAATCCTGGAACTAAGTGAGGATGAGAAGAGGACCTATGGAATCAATACCAGATCAAGAATTCAGAAAGGCAGCAAATACATGAACTATCAATGCTCCCCAAGGATCTAGAAAAGCAACAGCAAACAAAGTACAAAGTTGGTAGAAATAATAATTAAAATTAAAGAGGAAATGAAAAATTTTAAGCTACAAGCATCAATGTAAGCTCAGTGAACTGAGGAGTTATTGCCCTTTTGAATAAATGAACACGTTGATATAGGATTAGTCCGATCAATGGCAAAGAGGGAGATAACTGAAGTCAGGGGAATCAGAGTTTAAAACGAGAAAAAGAACAATTACGGATTAAAAAACCAATCCTCAAGAATTACTAAAAAGAGCTATATATGCCCAAAACTAAGCATTTTGAAAATTTTATAAACAAAAAATTCAACTTAGAAAAAAAATGAACACATCCTTTTAAAACTATACTATCCTGAAATTGAAAAAAAATATATCAAATATTTTATTAGTGGTATGTGTATAAAAAATCAAGCAGTCTTTAGATTCTTTTTGCAAAGAAAATTATTTTGCTGGCAAACTCCACCATTCTTAAAGCTATCTTCCCTTTTAATTGCTTTGTTTTCCTTTTGGCTGTGGATAAATTTCAAAACTTGATATAATCCTGCCTACTTTGCTTTTAAATATATTCCCTCTACGTTTAGAGACTTTTCCAAGAAGTCATTGCCTAGTTCAATGTCTTAGAATGTTTGTCCTACGTTTTCCTCTAGTGGTTTGATATTTCAAGCCAGTCTTAGCTATATATATTTCATACATTCTGACTTGATTTTGGAGTAAGCTGTGAGGTAGGGATCATCTTTCACACTTCTGCATATAGAAATTAAATGTTCCCATCAAGTCATTGCTGAGATTTTCCTTCTTGCAGGGAAAGTTTCCAGCACATATGTCAAGTGTGAGTTGGTCTTCCTCATGTGCTTTGGTTGTTGATGTCCCTGTTCTCCATCATTGGCTTACATGTCTGCTTTTTGGCCAGCAGCATGCTGCTTTGCTTAGGATCGCTCTGTTGCATATTTTGAGAACAGGCATTGTGGTGGCTTTGTTTCCACTATTTAAGATTGCATTGGGGACCGGTGTGGTGGCCTAGCAGCTAAATTCTTTGCCTTGAACGAGATCCCATGTGGGTGCCGGTTCTAATTCCGGCAGCTCCACTTCCCATCCAGCTCCCTGCTTGTGGCCTGAGAAAGCAGTAGAGGACGGCCCAAAGCCTTGGGACCCTGTATCCATGTGGGAAACCTGGGGGAAATTCCTGGCTCCTGGCTTCAGATCAGCACAGCACCTGCCATTGTGGTCACTTGGGCAATGAATCATCAGACGGAAGATCTTCCTCTCTCCTCCTCTATATCTGACTTGCCAATAAAATAAATAAATCTTTACAAACAAACAAACCAAAAAAAAAGATTGCATTGGCTTTCCAGTTAGTTAGTGTTCATGTATGAATGTTAGGTCTACTTTCTTCTTGGCAGTGAAGAGACTCTGGCATTTTGATGGAGTTGTCACTGACTCTGTAAACTGTTTCAATTCGTATGAACATTTTGATGACTCCGTTCTTTCAATCTACAGAGAAAAATCTCCCATTTCTTTTTGAGTTGAGATTCTTTCATCATGTTTGGACATTCTATTTTGGAGAGTATTTTTTTTAGACCTTTGCTTAAATTTACCCCCCAAGATATTTAAGTTTTTGGTAACTTAAAGTCCTTTTTATGAAACATCATTATTTAATGTTTTATATTTTATGTTAGTGTGTACATCAGTAAACAGATAATTGGGTCCTTTCTGTAGGATTTGCACACACTTTTTTTTTTTGTCTAACATGTCTTGCTATCTTTTCCAGGAATATGTTGAATCAAATTGATGACCATACCATCTTATCTGGTTCCAGATTTTTACTTTTCCTCATTCAATATAATTAATGGTAATGGGGTTATCGTATGCAGCTTTAACTGTGTGTATTTCTTTTGTATTTAAAATTTACTTATCATATAATGTTATTGTATTTTTTATTGTTCTTTTTTACATGGATTTTAGTTTTGATGCTATTTACATAGTTGATTAGGGTGGAGTGTGTCACGGATTTGGAGAAATTGGGTGAGGTTATTGTTTCCAAATTGGTAAAACGCGCAACCTGGTGGAGGAATCCACCATGGGGGGAGGAGGATTGGGGAGGAGAGTGGGGAATTCCAGTACCTAAAAAACTGTATCACATAATGCAACGTAATAAATTGGGAAAAAAATTGGTAAAGAATTTTTAAGCAATGACATATAGTTTCTGAGCAAAGAGACAAAGGCATGATTCCCACATTGCTTTTCTTCAAGAATAATTAGAAAAAGCCTTAAGTTTAGCGATCATCAAAAAATGGAAAGTGATAATGTAAGTTAAGAAACCATAAGATACGACTGACCAAATTAAAAGATGTTCATATAATTTCTACTAATAGTGTGCTACAAATTTGCACTGAATAGTCCCACAATCAACACATTAACATTTAAATTATCATGCAATGGATATTTTAGTTTCTTAGTTGCACTAGGCCAGGTATCCAGTATCCACGTATGCCAGCAGAAATGTGGTCCAACTTCTTTAGAATGCACTCATTTACACTCACCTGGATAGTTCCAAAATCCATCATCAATACTCCCTCCTGGTGAATGTTTTGTTGCCTCACAATGAGGAGGAGAATATCCAGCATCACAGTGACAATTAAGACGATCATTGCAAACCTAGATGAAAACCAGATAGAACAAAACACATGTCACAAACAAGATTTATAATTGCTTGACAATGTAAATTGTTACAGATATTTAGAATATACTCTAACTCTTTTTTTAATTTTCTGTGAAAAAATATCTTTTGAATCATAGGTTTTATACCAAACTGGAATGTGAAATCATTTCATTGAGTTTCATATCTCTTTAAATTCTCAGTACCAGCGAACAGTGTTGGCCAGATACAGAGGTTATGAAACTAGGAAGACTATGACAGTTCAAATTTGTTATGAATGGTGCTTGATGATAAGAGTTTTACCAATGGGTGGTGGCTTGACCTTGTGCTTAGGACATGGGTTGGGACACCTGCATCCCACAGCAGTGTGGCTGTTGTCCACAGTTGGCTCCAGTTCTCATTCCAGCTTCCTACTGATGAAGGCATTGGGAGGCAGTGATGATGGCTCCTGTAATTGAGTTCTAGTCACCAACACAGGAGTCTGTATTGTACTTCTGGACCCCAGCTCCAGGACAGCCTAGCCCTGGCTATTGTGAGTCTCCCAGGATGAGATGACAGGGGATGAGATTCTCTGTATGTTCTCTCTTTTTGTCTCTGTTTTTCTCTGCTTCTCAAGTAAAGAAATGAAAAATCCAAAAACATACAAAATTGCCTTGGTGACATTTAGCATTTATGATAAATGGGGAATGAAATGAAAATTTACAATAAGCAATAAACTTTGCTACACAGGTATGACTTCTTAAAACTCACTCAGAAAGCTACAAAATATTTGTAAATGTGGTTTGTGTATGAATAAAAAGGGCCAGTGGCTTACCAGAATCCAGAAATAAGATCACATAAAAACTATGAATGGTCAAGGAAAGAAACTAAAAATAGTGGCTTATGCAAAGAAACAAAAAAGTAATGCAATTACTTGTGTGAAAATGTTCAGGCAAGATATGGGAACTGATCATATCTTCCTGATCTCATTGGTGAGGCAGGGATCATTCCTAGTCAGAAGTCACTGGACATAAAGTCATACACATGCTTCCAAAAAACAAAGTCCAGAAAATTTCTATAACCCAAGGGATGATTCCATGATAGATACAAAACAGAAAGTTGAATGCCAAATATGAACATGTATATGTCAGAACCCTATCATCAATGACCAAGTAAACAAATTAACAATGGTTTGAACAGCTTAGAAGAGGTCTAACAGACTGAAAAACAGGCTTGGCCAGAATATGAGGAAATTTGCATTTTCTCATATGACACATGGGAGTGAAAATTGGAAAGTTTCAGAAAGATTTTACACTACCTGAGTAAACTTAAATGGTACATATATTAGCTCCAATAGATTTTATCACTAATAAACATGCCAAGATGTCTGCGCAGCATTGTCTTGTTGTACTGCTATTGGCAATAACCAAGTGTAAAAGCAACAGTGTTTTGAAGGCCATTGGTAAGATCACTTTATAATGTAGCCTAGAAGACCCATGCATGGAAATAAGCCGAAGCCATCAAAAGATGAAGTTGATCTGAATGGGCAAGTCTCACCCTCTAGAAATATTGTATCATATGCAATTTGTATGGTATGAATATAGTTTTAAGTGGTTATCAATATGTAATTAAACAATCATAATCATGCACATGTATGATTTATATATATTATATACAATAGTATGTACATAATAGATGTAATAATAATATATAATATGTACAATCTTAATACTTTTATTTTTAAAACTTAGAAACAGTTATCCAGCATGTTAACCATACATTTTTATTACATTTTTATATACACAGTCTGATGTATGCATAAGTGATATGCATATGTAATAATGTAACCTATTGTTTCTATTTCATTGCAATTTTTCAAAATAAACTTCCTCATTAAAAGATTTAAACCTTATCTGGGAAAATGTTACTGATGTGGATTAAAATCACTATATTCAAGAGAGTAATTGACCAGATCAGCGAATAAACAGGAAGCTGTCCATACACGGAGAACAGAAAGTCTGTCCTCGCTCCAATTAGTAAGCTGCTAAAAACCAGAGAGCAGGGAGCCAGTCCCCTCTGCCTGGCCACTGGGCACCCGTTCACTGCACGGGTTGCGAGAATTCTATAGCTATCCAGCTGGGTGCCGTCGTGAGGTGAGTTCAGGGTGCACAGAGATCTACACAGACCGTCTGCATTGTACCTGTGCTGCTATGGCTGGGTTACATCTACAGTGGTACAACCTGAATAAATCAATCAAACTGAAGGATTAGAAGTGAAGAATTCAATATCACAAAAAAAGAGGGAAAACCTTAACAACAGAATGGGCAAGAAGGAAGAAACAATCTCAGAACTAGAAAATAATTCCTGGGGAAAAAAGCTCAAGTTTATGAAAAACTAGATGACTAAATAAAACAAACAAAAAGACATACAAGAATTATGCAACACAATTAAGTAATCATATAAACATATAAATATATGTGTATATATACATATATGTATATGTGTATCATGTGTATGTGTGTGTATATATATGTATATGTATACATTTACTTCCCAGTAAATGTACAAAAGAAGCCAAAACTAGACAATTAGACATCTATGTTAAAGTGATAGGACCACGTTGCTGCCTTTTAATAATAATACAAATTCTTTTCATCACTGCATGGGACCTTATCCAGGTTAGAACATATCATTAGCACAACTAATGAAGAAAATACAAAGATACTAATTAATCAAATCAGAAATGAAAAAGTCAATATAGCAATGAGTATCAGGAAATACAAATGATCCTTAGGAATTATTACAAATAGCATTATGTCAACAAATTGGTAAATATAGAAGAAATGGATCAAGTTTCTGGACAGATACAATCTTTCCAAACTGAACCAACTTAAATAGAGCAATAACTATGATGGAGAATGAATCAATAATAAAGACTCTTGAAACAAAGAAAAATCCAAGGCTGGACAGTTCTACTGTTGAATTCTATCAAACCTTTCAAGAACTAATTTCCATCTTTCACAATTCATTCAAAAGAACAGAAAGGGAGGAAACCCACTAACTTGTTTCTATGAGGCCATCACCTTAATTCCTAAATCAGAAAAAGATATACTGGAGAAAGAGAACTACAGACCAATATCCCTGGTGAACATTGATAGAGAAAAATTCTCAAAAATACCAGCTAATCAAATCCAACAACAAGTCAAAGACAGTTCACCTGGAACAAGTGAGATTTATCCCTGAGATGTAGAAATGTTTCAACATATGCATATCAATAAATGTGATACACTGAAGAGAAAAAAAACATATGATTATCTTAATGGACATAGAGAAAGCCTTTGATAAAATTCAACATCATTTCATGCTAAAAACCTTAAGCAAATTAGGCATAGAAGGATCATTCCTCAATACAATTGAGCTGTGTTTGAAAAAGCCAATGCCAGCACTATTGTGAATGGGGAGAAGCTGGGACATGAGCACTAAGGTCTGGAACCAGACAAGGAAGCTCACTCGCACTATTGCTACTCAACACAGTTCTAAAGGTTCTAGCCAGAGACGTTAGGAGACAAGAAAAGGAAACCAATGAAATACAAACTGGAAAAGAGGAAGTCAAGCTATCCCTGTTTGCAGGTGACACAATTTTCTATAAAGGGGAATCCACAGACTGAACTGGAATTCATCATAGTTTGCAAAGCTTCACTGTACAAAATCAATACGTATAAATCACTGCCTTAGTATACACAAACAATTCCATGGCTGAGGACATGTCCCACATAAGACCAGGACACAAAATACACATGAATGAATGGTCTTAACCTACACAAAAAAATTTCTTGGCCAAGAATATATTTATAAGATCAGTCTGTTTCACAACAGTGCCAAAGATCTTGAATAACTTGGGATAAACTTAAACAATGAAATGAGAGGTCTCTATCTAGCATGAAAGCTACGAAACTTAAAAAAAAAAAAAAGAGGAAGAAATCAAAACATGGAAAATTCTGCCATGTTTGTAGAATGGTAGAATCAATATTACCAAATGCCTATATTACCAAAAGTAATCTAGAGATGCAATATAAATTCAATCAAAATATAAGCAATTTTCTTCTCAGATCTAGAAAAACGATGCTGAAATTCATATGGAAACGCTGACTCGGGACAGCTAAAGCAACTTTAAACAACAAAACAAAGCTGGAGCTATCAAAATATCAGACTTCAAGACACACTCTAAGACAATGGTAATCAGATAGCCTGGTGCTGACATAAAGACAGGTGAGAATATTAGTCAAATAGCATAGAAATCCCAGAAGCAAACTTATGCATCTACATCCAACTAATGTTTGACAAGCTAACCTAAATCAACAATGTGAGATACGCGCTTGCGGACATGAGAAACAAGATACTGCCACTCACCTTACACAGAACTCAACATTGGAGCACAGACCTAAACATACTGCCTGATACTACCAAATCTCCAGAGGAAAACATCAGAAATACTTTGAAAGACACAGGCATAAGGAAAGACCTTGCGGAAAAGATCATAAAAGAATAGGCAGTTAAAGAAAACCAAGCCAATGGGATAATACCAAGCTAGGAATCTTCTGAACTGCAAGGGTACTGATCAATAAGGTGATGAGAATAGCACAAAATACTTGCAACAGAACAGGAGAAAATATTTGCAAACTACAGAGCAAATAGATCAGTATCCAGGATTTACATAGGACTCCAGAACCTCAACAACAGTAAAACAACCCAGTTAGAAATTTGCAAAGAACACAAATAAATATTTTTGAGAATATGAAGCTTAAATGGTTAATGGACAAAAGAGAAAATGTTCAGGTTCTCTAATTTTTAGGGAAATACAATAAAAGACATCATGGGGTTCCACCTAAATCTGGTGAGAACAGTCTACATACAGACATCCACAAACATTAATGTTGAGGGTGCAAGGGAAAAGGTATTCTGAACTATTCTTGGTGGGAATGTTGACTAGTGCACCTACTGCAGCAGTCAGTATGGATATTTCTCAGACAACTAAACACAGATCTACCATATGATCCAGTCACAACACTCATTGCAGTATATACAAATGAGATGAAATGTACACATCAGAAAGTTACCAGAAACCTCACGGTTATAGCACTGCAATTCACAGTAGCTAAAACAAGCAATAAACCCAAAGGAATGGACAAAGAAAATGTGGTACCAGAGAATGCTACTCTGCAGTGAAAAAAAAAATAATGAAATCTTGAGACTATCATATTCTGATGTGAAGATACAATGCAGTATGCAGCTCTACTGCCAAATCAAAGATCAAATCCCAATGAAAACATTAGACATATTTTGACAATAGCATGTTGGACTGTCTGCCATTGTCTGTACCAGCAATGTCAGGGCAAACTTAAAAAACAGACTGAGTAACAGACTGATGCACTTGTGACTGCTTATGAAGGACTATACGATTGCAATAATATGGGGAAAATCAGTTGGGGGTGGGAATTTGGGGAAGAGGTAGGGAAATCCCACACCCTATGGAATTGCACCATAAAATTCAAAATTCAAAAAAATTCACTTGAAAAATCTTGCCACTTGCAACAAAATGGACCCAGTTAGAAACCACTATGCTTAGTGAAATAAACCAGTCTCAAAAAGACAAATATTATATGATCTCTCTCTGCAACCACTAATGCACAGAGTTTTTTTTTAAAAAAAGGATAAGCTTGATAAGGAAGATGAGCCTACTGGGGGCAAATGCTGTATACAGCACTTCTTTATTCCCATGTGACAGCAGAACTTTCACTTTCATTTTTAATTATGCTTATATTTCATTACTGAATTTTTTCCTTTTCCTCTACTTGCCTCTGTCATGACACATTTATATGTCACAAATTTAAACTCATAGTGCAGAAATGAATGATAACGCACTGTAATAGCTTGGGGACAAACAATAGGAGGGAAATAGAGGAACAGAGAGCAGAGGAGGAAGGGGAACTGCATTTGGTGCTAAATCTCCATTGTGAAAAGATAGGAAGACTACTCATTTTATATAAGTTTTTAAAATAAAATGAAAAAAGAATAATGGTTACATACTCCATGCCCGTTACACATCTCTTTTGAGTTACAACCGGATTTCAATGGAAATATGTTGGTGGGCGAGCAATTTCCTTTGTAACACATCTACAAGGCATGATAAAGAAACCAACAGAAAATCTTTAAAATCAATAATTTGAATCCAAAGGTAACATGAAAATCATACACAGGGGTGATACAACAGATGAATCCAAAACTCACGTAATCCATTCATTCATTGTTTTAAAGACTTATGTATATTTTATTGGAAAGGCAGATATACAGAGAGGAGAGAGAGAGAGGAAGATCTTCCATCTGCTGGTTCACTCCCCAAGTGAGTGCAACGGCTGGAGCTGAGCCAATTTGAAGCCAGGAGCCAGGAATTTCCCCCAGGTCTCCCACATGGGTGCAGGGTCCCAAAGTTTTGGGCCGTCCTCGACTGCTTTCCCAGACCACAGGCAGGGAGCTGGATGGGAAACGGGGACACCAGGATTAGAACCGGCATCCATATGGGATCCCGGCGTGTTCAAGGTGAGGACCTTAACTGCTATGCTATCACGCCAGGTACAATCCATTCATTCTTAAAAAGTAACTAGGTGTTAAAATCAGTGAGTGAAATTACAGGTCAAGACTTCATAAAAACACTACACATCGAAGATGAGGTGATCCGGTTTCCCTTCAGGGAGCAAAGGCATACATTTAATGCTATGAACCAATGTAGAGATTAAGGTGGTCAAAAATGATTGGTAATTACTAAGCTAAACATTAACGATTTTGTTCGTTTTATGTGGTATATTGGTGCAGAATCTGAGGTGATTTCACTAACCTTATTGTGCATCTGATGACAATTATAGTTACACATTGAAATTCAGGCAATGTACTATTGGTAGATATATATTTTTTAAATGCAAGAACTGAGCTTGCACTCAGAGATGTTACTCACACATTAGAGAAATGAATGCTATATGTGGTTATTTATGTTTCACAAAAAATTCACTTGTCTTTTACATTAAAATTGTGATACTTGGCAAGCTTTTTTTTTTTTATTCTGTAAGACCAGTTCGTTTGTTTTTGAATTTGCCATGGTAAATAATCCTATCTCACTCGTAAAGAGGCGGAAACAAAAAGAATATGTGATAACTGGTTTCGTAAAATCGATTCTTCTATTAACTCATTAGAATCATACCTTGGTTTCCATTTTATTGTAAATTAGGAGTTTGTTCATAATAAATAAATATTGCACATGATATATTGCACAATAACGTTCCTTCATACAGATTCTGCTTTCCTGTCGGACATCTTCCTTATAGTATCTGATGGAATATTCTAAATGTGATATGTGGTTTTGGTGAAAAAGGTAAACCCAGGGAGGTTTTCACACAATAATCTTGCTCTTTTCGTTACAGTAATTTGCATTAGGGAGGATGGGACACTGGAACCTAAACCTTCAGTTTAATTGATGGATTTCATGGTAACGATAAGTTTTTGTCTTAGAGTTTTGATTAAGCCTCAGGATGTTAGGGAGGCTTTTCAATGGCTCTGTTCTGGTAACATTTGGTGGGGGAGAATGGCAAGACTTCTTTCCTTACTGCAAGAAGAGCACTAGACCCAACTCCAGCCCCCAACTGGCAGCCCCCCTGATGCAGTACAGTCAGGTAGGAGCTCAGCGTTGCCACTATCATCAGAGGAGGTTGAGCTCTGGCTAGTAGGCCTTTGCTTGTAGCACTCTGGTAAGATTCTGCTGGGTGGGCCTTGTCGCCACCACTGTCCACCCACTGTGTATTTTTGATGAGGGTCAGTGAGCAGCTAGCAGAGGCGCACTATGTTGTGACAGCTCTAGCTAACTTGTACAGACACAATGTCTGACACAGCAGCCACAGCCCAATGCGTGCCATCCAAACATCTACTCCAGTGCACGGGCAAAATCTGCCTTTTGTGTACCACAAAACCATCCCTATTCTCCACGTAGTGGAAATTGTTTTATACAAATTATTACAGGATGCATTTTAGCCTAGCCTTAGATTCCTTTAAAGTGTCATAATACAAGCTTAAATATCTATAGCAAAATTCGTATTAACAGTTCTTCCGACCTTCACAGATTTAGATGTTTATATTTTAAGATCGTTAATGCTGTGCATAGCAATTGAGAGGTAATGTGGAATTCCCCCCTCCCATACATAGCAGGTTTCAAGTGCCTGTTCTGTTTCTGATGACAACTCCCTGGTCATACACAGGCTGGGAGGCCACATTCTTGGGTTCCTGAACTCAAGTGGGATTAAGTTTGAGTTCTAGATTCAGCTTGGCCAGTTCCAGCCATTACAGACATATGGGCAGTGAAACAGTAGGTGAAAGGAAGCATCCCTTTCCTCCCTTGCGCTCTTTCTCTCTCTCTCTCTCTCTCTCTCTCTCTCTCTCTCTCACACACACACACACACACACTTTCTCACTGTCTGATATCAAGTGATTCGAAATGCATTTTTTATATCCGAGCAGTAATTAACACTAATTATATAAAATGCAGTAAAAGTTGTATTTACTCTGTTGTCACCACATATAGAACCGTCTTCCACATATGTGTCATCATAGCTTTGAACTTGTCTTAACTTTGCAGATATACAGATCTGGCCTCCAAGATACATGTATTGTATGTCATAATCTTTCTTTACCGCTATGGATGATTTTGACCACTTGCATATTAGCTTTCCACAAAGAACGTGACTGACAATTGAAGGCAAGACAGTTACTTGTTAGCCACATAAGTATGGAATACATCAGATAAAGAATAATTCAAATGACAATATTATTTTGAAATACTCCCCATATCCTAACACCAAAACTTTTCAGAACATGCACAATCTGATGGAGTGCCACTTAAAAGACCTTCTTTATGTATTGGCATCATCACACATTTGCTTTTCACATGAATCAAAACAGAGCATACCCCCATGTATTGGAAAAACATTGAACTTTCTGAATACATACTTAAAGTTGCATTTGGTCTTACAGTTTCCAAATCTGTCACCTAGAAAATTCACTTCTTCAACACACAGATAATTGCCACCCTTGGAAACTAAAGACAGATAAAAAAAATTCCAATTGTTTATACTTTTTAAAAATTATTAAAAGTTATATATAGGACAAATCAATACAGAGTCAAGTGACAGCCAAAATACCCAATAGCATATCCTAAAATATTTTGTTCTCATACTATTTGTATAAGAAGGAGAAGCTCATATTAAACCCCAGTTAAAACAGGAAAAACTGCATGCTATTGCAGAAGTAAATGAGAAATAAGTAACTCAACCCCTTTCAGGATATTTCAGTCATTTGGTCTTTTCCCAGCAATCACGTGAAATTTAACAAGCATACTCTTCTCTTTGTCATGTAGTATTAAATCTATTTTTTTTATCATGACACACAGAGGTCAGTTGCCTTGCTTTGCAACCTAATTTTCAAACTTGGCTATAAAAATACCATCATTTTCCAATATGCCTATAGGGTAAAACTGCTTTTGGAGCAAGTACTATGTAAAACTGAACTCCAGAGCATAGATAAAACAGTTACATTCTCCAAAGAGTTCTGCACATTGCCTGTCTCGATCTCGACATCTTCCTTGAAAACAGTAGGCACTGTTATTGTTGCATGGTTCCAAGTCAGCTGATTTCACATCAGGGACACAATATGCAGATGTCCCATTGCAGAATTCTGGAAAATCACACGGATCAGAGCTTCTCCTACATAGTCTTCCTCTCTTGAGTATCTGTGAGATGAGGAAAGGCAAATGTTTGTGAATGTGCGTGTGTGTGTGTGTGTCTTCCCTAGCATCAAAGAATTGAAACAATAAGTAAATGCCGGGGAAGACATAAACTACCTTTTGGGGGTAGATTATGGATCAAAGAAAAAGCTTCAAGATGAACCCATGGGCAGAATGTTTGTGTGAGAGATTTCGGCAAAACACAAGACAACGGCTGCCCCCATAAAGTACATAAAAGGAGACTTGCTGCTGTGTGAAAGTTGTCTTTACCCAACTGTGAAACTCAATTCATCCCCAAATCAACATTTTGAAAAGCTTTTTTTTTCCTTGCTGACACATTCAGAAAAGAGCAACTGGTCAATATTTAAGCAATATGATGGGGTATCGATGTATTTTTGTTCTGGTTGAGTCGGGGAGACGGACAGTGGCAGTCCTGTGATTTATGCATCACCTGTCCGCCCACATCTAGGTAGGCCTGTACTGGACAGATATTAGCAGGTTCTTAATCCAGGTTTCACATTAATCCTTAATGCAGGTTGCAGGGGCCCAACTACATGCTAGTCCCTACAATTTGCATTACAAGAGGCTGCAGTCAGGAACCAGGACCAGATTTTAATTTCAGGCCTTCAGGTGTAAGATTTACACAACGTTGTATGCACCCTGCATCACTGAATGTTCTTTATGTATGGCAGGTAACATTTAAAAAAAAAAAAAAGGAACTACATTTCTGTGTATATGTACCACTGCAAGCATACATTTGCAAAACTCTGTTTTACATCTTTGTCAAAACAATGGTAAAGAATGTTATACTATTGCATGATGATAGTCTGAGGTTGCAATTTACTGTATGTGGGTAAAATGGTCACTTTTTCCTTCTTTCAAGTTATTGTGTATAACCATTGACTATATATTGACTATATTGCCACTGAGCTAAGCTTTTTTTTTTTTTTTTTTGCTTGGTAGACATATTATTCAGTGCTGTGTGAAGCCTTGTACTGTAATGTAAACGTAAAATGCTAAAATGCTATTTCAAACATTTTTTAAATAGCAGAGGTAATTTTATTTATTTATTTATTTTTTTAGTGGGAGAGCATGTGAGAGAGGAAGAGAAGGGAGAGAGGAAGGAGAATATCACTGTGTCCTCAGAACGATGTCCACAATTACAAGCATTCTGCTTAATGAAATAAGCCAGTGCTAAAAAAAACAAATACCACATTTTTTCCTGCTCTGTGAAAACTAATACACAGAGTACAAAGAAGTGTAATTTATGTGAGCAAGACTGGAATTCTTGGGTCTGACGGTTGTTTATAGCCTTAATCTCTACTCTGAGGAATAGTGATTTATTTTCGTTTTATTACTTTTTAAGCTTGTTCTGGCTATGTGTTGATTCCTTTAGCTAATGAAGTGTTAAGGTCATGACCTGCAAATTGAGATGACAGTATGACAATTAAAAATTTAGAGACGAAAAAAAGGAGGGGCTGGCATAATAGGCTAAACTTCTACCTGTGATGCTGGCATAAAATAGACCATAAAAGCTTATTGAAACATCTGAAATATTACTTTAAATATCTAAAGGTGAGTAAATGTGAATACGACATGTTTCCCAAAAGAAAATAATGTGATATTCAGAAAGCTTACCGTGCAAGTTTTTTTATCACAGCACTTTCCACTACCACACTGCGCAAACCCAATCAGCTTACAATCCAAAGCACTGCAACACTTTTTGTGAGTGCACGCCTAAAAGCAGAAATCCTGAAGTCAAATATAAATATTTTCAATCATGTAAATGATTTTATGTAGTTTGGAAATGCAGCCGTGTGGCATATGGCAAAAAAAGTTTTGGATCAAGACAGATTGGTAATACAATGTCAGTCTCATATTTTTTTCTGTAGAGAAGCTGAAAAATCCCTGTGCCCTAATAACAAGATATCTTTATGGGGCAACACATGAATTGACTGTGGTAAGGCTGTGGTGGTGTTGGTGTTCTGTGTCATCAGTGTGAAATATGACACATTCAGCAGGGTACAGAGCACACAGAACATAATATATCACCTGCACCAGCCGAAGTACACAGCAGTGGATACAAGCTGCCTGGTCAGTTCCCTCTTAGCCCCATTTCTCACACAAACCATTGAGTGCTGTGGCTCTGCCCAGCCAATCTACTACAGGCCACCCCCCACCATCCACACTTGTGCCAGCTGGTGCCTCAGCCTAGTTAGGTTGAACCCCAGTATCCCTCACCAGGTGTGCCCCCAGTCTTGGCTTTGTGTGTGTGTGTGCCAACCTCTGCTTTGACCTAGCCTGACCCAGCCTGCATCCCATGTAACTCTCGTGCACACCCATGGGTGCTACAGCTTAACTCAACCCAATTCCCCCTGTCCCCACCCCAGACCTGGTCCTCACATATGCTGAGAAGTGACTCTACCTTGTTCAGCCTGGCTTTCCCTGCAGCCCTGCTTCTAGTGCTCATCAGAAATATGTACCACCTAGCAGAGCAGCGCCCACAGTTCTTGTGCCAGGCATTTTCCCAACTTGAGATCTCACACCTGCCAAGGTGTACTGTGGTCCAGTCTGACGTGACTCACATCCAGTCCTGGCACTTGCCAGCTGGTGCCGTGCTTAACGCAGCTGGCCTGCGAACATTCTGGTTCCATCTCACACAAGCAGTGTGGCAGCCTAGTTAAGCCTGGTCTGTTCCCACTCGCAGCTGTTATGTTCACTGTGGAAGCAGTGACCCACCAGGAGAGTCCCAGAGGCTTCCATGTGCATGTGTTGGAACTGGGTCTCCTCAGTTGCTGATGCCTGTACAGTGGACAGCATGCCCAGATTCACACTGGGGACATGACAACCAGCCCATCTGGGCCAGCAGAGGATGTCAACTGTTTTGTCAGAAAATGGAAAGTGGAATAGTTTCGACAACTATCCTGGCCAAGCTTTGCAGCATGTCCCTAGGTCTGTGGATTCTCCCGTCCACCATGTCACTCCCTAAATGTCTATAAAAGCTAGAGCTATGTCACATCAAAGCCACAATCAGGAAACTCAATCTGTGTCTGCCACATGAGGAGCAAGGAAGCTAGTATTTGGGCCAAATACTCAGGTGAATTAGCACAAAGCTGTATTGGAAGTGGAACAACAAACAAGCACTAGAACAGGTGCTTTATGTAGGAATGGCAATGTCTGCATGCTGTGTCTTATCCTGCTATGTCACAACATGGACTACATGAATTAATGTTTAAAATGATTCTTTAGGCCCAGCATAATGGCTAAATCATTGCTTTGCATGCACTGATAACACATGTGGGCACTGGTTCGTGTCCTGGCTGCTCCACTTCCCATCCAGCTTCCTGTTTATGACCTAAGAAAGTAGTAGGGGATGGTCCAAAGCCTTGGGACTCTGCATCTGCTTGGGAGATGCAGAAGAAAATCCTTGCTTCTAGTCTCAGACTGGCTCAACTCTGACCGTTGCAGTCAGTTGGGATGTGAACCAGTAGACAGAAGATCTTTCTCTTTGTATATCCTTCTCTCTGTAAATCTGCTTTTCCAATAAAAAGAAGTAAATCTCAAAAAAAAAAAAAAAACTAAGCCATTTAGAAAACAACAAAAAAAAGTGTGCCAGTAAGCATTCTGCGTCCTCAAACACAGGAAATTCTTGCACTTCTGTATTCCTCAGGCACAAAGATTACAATGTAGAGATTGAATTAATATCTATATAAAATAGAACACTTTAAGTAATGAAGGAAAGGAGAATTTATCTCACAAAAGTTTGCAAACATAATAAATTAATAAAAACCATATAATAAAAAAGCCCCAAAACTGGATGTTCTACACTTCTATGGTAGAGGACAAGACTCAGAGTAGGAACAGCTGGAATATGTGCATGTAAAAGCTCAGTTTACATGGCCATCCTATGACAGTGAGCCAAAGATTGTGACTGAACCAAAAGTCATCACAGATGCAAAGTTCTGAAATTAGGAAATGACAAAAGTTTACTGGAAACATTGCATAATGCAGTGAACCTGTATAGTCATTATGGAGGAATCTGGAAGGTGATGAATGCGGTAAATACATCAGTGATGCTGCTCCTCATTGGTACTAAAAAATACAGATGAAAACCTCTTTCTAGGACCCACATCACACATCCCGAGGAAACGCACTCTCCAGAGCTTCAAGCTCAGCATGAAGTCAATGCCCGCACACCCTGGATACCAACGTGACCTCTCTGAGAATATAGTCAACATTTGAAAGGCTGTCCTCCCTTTTCACACCACATCTGTCTCAATAAACCTCCAGGAGGAAGAAGTTTATGACCAACCTCTGGAATGCCACAGTCACATTCCTCGTTTCCTTCCAAAACACCATTGCCACAAGTTGAAGAGTGTTTTTGGTAATCCACTACTGGAGGTTTTTCATTCTGAAGACATTCCAATGCAGGCTGTGATCTTGACTGCTGAAAATCTTCCATGCTGCAACTGCTAAAATGCTTCACACCACTGGATTGTCTAAAATTAAATTATATTCCTCAGACAAATGGAACAAACATCAGTGTTAGAGTGACCCTCTCCAGTCACACGCTGTGACTTCTGAACTCCGGCACTTAGAGAACAGACAAGAAACATGGGGACATGCTCTGCACATGAGCATGCGCCAATGCCACCGGTTCACTTACAACGAGATTTGTTACAGCAAATAGCTGGAAAGTTAAGAACGCTACTGCAGAACACACTTGATGCTTTGTGCACAATAAGCTCTATCTGAGTACATTCTATTTTTGCCAGCAAAACTATTGTTATATGAACCCCGAATGATTATTAAGAAAATGGAACATACTGGGAAACTGAAGTGGACAAGCGTAAGGAATCAAACTAATTATAATTAATCTTGTCAAGGAAAAACGACAGCCATTTGACCTTTGGAGACAAAACAATAAAAACATTTCAATGCAGAGGGAAAAAAAAATAGGACTTCTCCAGTATATTTTCATAACTTTCTGATTTTTTTCTTATAATTCTAAGTACACTGTTGAATGAATTTTTGCTTAATTCACTTGTCCTTTAACACAGGAAAAATTTTGTCTACAAACTGTCTTTTGGGAATTGCTAAGTCAAACTTCATCATAATTTGTAACTATAAATGCTCTAACATATACTTCTATTTTTATTTAATTAATTATTTCAATAATAAAATTTTATTCAGCGTAGTGGTTCATCCCTTCGCCTCTCCTTTCACATTCCCATAATCTCCTCTGATGCATTATAGCACACGCAGTTCACCGGTCAGAAGTTAAACTTTCTGATACACAAATGTGTCATAATACAGCAAGTGCAGGAAAAGGTGGAAAACATAACCATGTGGGGCTGGCACTTTGGTGTAGCAGACTAATCTTCTGCTTGTAAGTATATCACTCCATATGGGCAAGCACCAATTTGTGTACTGGCAGCTCCGTTTCTGATCCAGCTCCGTGCTTACGGCATGAGTCAGCAATGGCGCATGATTCAAGTTCTTGGGTGCCTGTATCCACATAGAAGTCACAGAGGAAGCTCCTGGCTTTGTATCAGCTGAATCCCAACCCCTGTGGTCATTGGAGGAGTGAAGAAGCAGATTGAAGACCTTTCTTGCTCTTTGCATTTCCACTCTCTGAAAAAATCTACCTTTCCAATAATAAGTCTCTCCTTTTTATTTAAAGAAAACATAATATTACAGCGTAAATGTTTATTTGTTATCATGTCCCCCGTGAGTATCTGTCATGCCGTCCACCACACAGGCCTCAGTAATCAGACAGACCTAGTACTGACACATGCACTCCTAGATCAGACCGCATAGCCTGTGATTTTCACTGTGGTTGGAGTTCTCAGTCCAGAGATTCAGTTGGGGGAGGGGGTCACCAAAGAAACCTCACCAGAGGTGACCCCCAAACTAACTCCAGCTGGGGTGGGGTCTGATTCAGCCCATTACCCACATTAGTCTACACACTGGTGGCTGTGGCCTGCTGGTCAGTTCTGTCCCCAGCTCCATCTCATACACAAATCAGATCTCTCATGTGGCTGCATGTATTGATTTGGCCCTGGAAGGTCCTCCAGTTTCTCTCCTCCGAACTCCTTAGTCTCAGCCCCCTCATGTACCTGCAAGTGCAGTAGCCAGGTTGTTGGAAGGCCCAGAGAAGTCATTCCCCATCTCTCAAGTTCTCCCTCAGCATCCTCCCTCCCACATATCTCCAGATCTTCTTCCCTGAGCAATCCACAGCCCCTCGTGCCCAGTCCCCTGGCAAAGTGTCATGCCAGTCTGGAAACCTGCCTGCCTACCCAGGGTCCACGCACATCCCTAGACCCTGTTTTTTGGGATGCCGGTGTCTGCCCCCAACATATTCACAGCTCATTGAGGCCTGCAGAAGACATCTAGCTCCACAGAGGGCAGAACAAATTTAATAGCTCTTCTGGACAAATATCTGGGCAAATCAAGACTTTAAGATGAACTGTGTCAGCCAATGGACCTTGTAAAAACTTCCTCAACCTTGAAGCAATAGTATCAACAGCACCTCAGAACTACCAAAACCACTTAAGCAGTATGCTTGGAACATGCTCTACAATGGACACCCTGGAATGACATCGGGTGGCCTTGCTCCAGTTCTGAATACTGATGTGGTTGGGTTGCTGGGAGCAGACCTCTCCCCTTATCTCTTTCCCCAGATGCCAGAACAAAAAAGGAAATTGGAGGCAGTTGTCTCATCCACTTTCCTCCATTCCTCGACCCTTCCTAACCTAACTGGTGGTCCACATTGGAATGCATCCCTCTCAGTGATGGAAACATCACCAAAAACAAAATGAATTTATGATTAAAGATAAAAAGGTATGCTAATCTCCCTTATATACTTTGTGTGTGTGTGTGTGTGTGTGTGTGTGTGTGTGTGTGTGTGTGTGTGTGTGTGTGTGCAGAGAGAGAGAGAGAGAGAACACTTATCAGTTGCCATGTATTGGACAGTGCAAACGGTATTTGTCCTTTGGGAACAGGCTTATTTCACCAAGCGTAATGGATTCCAGTTGTAACCATTTTGTTGAAAATGGTAGGATTTCACTTCCTTATGGCTAAGTAGTATTTCATAGAGTAAGTGTACCACACTATGCTTATCCTCTCATCTGTCAACTGCCATCTTGGTTGTTTCCAAGTTTTAGCTATTGTGAATTTTGCTGCTATGAACTTGGATTTGCAGGTAACTCAAACATATACTTCTTACATAGAAATAAATTTCCCTAAGGAAAAAAAATAGGTTCTTCAAGATTAGGACCAAAAAATGAGTGTCTATTATCTACTACCCACATGCGTTTAAAATTTCACCAAACACTACAAAATTGACACTTTAAAGCAACAGGAACCAGTTGAGAATGAACTCATACATTTGGTTATCATGATTCTGTAGTCTGCTAGCCTAAGGGTTTTAACTTAACTAAATATGAAGTTTTGTAATTATTGGAGTTCTTTTGTAGCATGTCCACAAATGTGTAGTTTTGAAATGTATCAACATTATGATACTGATTAGAACTCTTGGCCTCAGTGTCACAGGATTATTCTGCTAATGATTCTTTAGGACTGAACAATTTCACGGGATTTAAAAAAATTTATAACACTGAAAAAAATCACTTTAATAAGACTATGTCCATTAGCCCACATTTTAACAATAGCAAAATACAATTCTTGCTTTTTTACTTTTTAAAAAAATTTTGCTATTTATTCTTATTGGAAAGGCAGACATACAGAGAGATGGAGAAACAGAGAGTAATATCTTCCACCTGCTGATTCACAACAACGGCCAGAACTGAACCAATCTAAAGACAGTAGCCAGGAGCTTCTTTCAGGTTTCCCATATGGGTGTAGGGTCCCAAGGTTTTGGGCCATCCTCTATTGCTTTCTCAGGCTACAGGCAGGGAGCTGGACAGGAAGCAGAACAGCCGCGACACAAACTGATACCCATATGGGATCCCAGCGCATGCAAGGTGAGGACTTTAGCCACTAGGCTATCACACTGGACCCCAAAATTTAATTCGTACTCATTTCTTTGACAAAGTAGTATTCATTACTAAATAAAGCATTTGTTCTTTTCATGCAGGTCAGATCTCCTTCTTCATCACGCAAGTGCTGACAGAATGGAGCAACTTAGCTCTCCCCTGCTGCCTCCCAAAGTGCAGCAAGAGAAGTTGGTTGAAAAGTGAAAGAATTGGGACATGAGTCACCACTATGATGGGGCATGCTGGCCTCCAGCGGAAAGCTTAACCTGCTGTGCCACAATATGGATATTCACTATATTTGCTTTCCACATTACATTGTCTCAGATTTGGTTTCAAATTGAACTTTATCATCTCTGCATCAAAATACCTCTGGCTCTAAGATGTTTAAAATGTCCTTTATGCATTGTACTTCCTACAATGCAGTTACCTCGCACACGTCTTATTTGTATAATGGATGGGCCACACGCATGAGCATTTTTATATGTTGCTTGTTCCGCTTGGGACAAGTGGAGCATGCTTCTGTTTCTGCTCTGCTTTCATACATTTCTGTTTGGTAAAAGTATTTGGAGAAATAAAATACATTGATGTATTTGGAACGTGCTTTTTTTTTATCTCTTCCTTCTTTTTTGAAGACTTATCGATTTATTGAAAAGATGAAAAATTTCAGAGATAAAAAGGTGAAAGAAAGAGAGAAGAGAGAGATTGTTTCAATCCTCTCATTCACTCCCCAAATGGCAACACTGGCCATGGCTGTGCCAGACTGAAGCCAGTAACCAGGAACTCCATCTGGGTCCTCCATGCAAACGAGAGTGGCCCAAGCACTCGAGTCAGCTTCCACTGTTTTTCTCTGCTTCACTAACAGGGAGCTGAATCAGAAACGGAGAGACCAACACTGGAATAGTGTTGATCGCTAGTGTTGAACGTGGCAGCTTTAACCACTACAACAGGGTTATGGCTTCTCTCCTTAACTCTTAAAATACACTTGGCCCTAAATTAGGCTCCGCACAAGCACCAGGTTCTTGCAAATTTTGATTTTTGCCCCAGCTGATGCTTCCACTGTTACCTCATGAGTCAAGGAAGAAACGTGAAATTTGGGAGAGTCTGCTTCTGCATTTGTGTATGGATTTTAAAGCAAATACTGCAGAAGCCATCCTCATCAATCTATGCATTGTTGTTGTTGTTGTGGTTTGGTTTGGTTTGGTTTGGTTCACTCATCCACAAATCTCCATATTCTAAGTCTACGGATTTTTCCAAATTTCATATTCTCCCAGTAGCTCTTCAGCAGCTATCCTGAATAGTTTTCCAACATCTTCAACACGACTTCAGGTAAGCTCTCAGAGCTCTGTGGCACCATGTGTGTCCTTTCCATGCAACGGCATCAAGTATGGAACTATTAAACATATATCCTACTATATCCTAGAGCTGTGCTTCTTAACAAGTCTTAAATATGTTCCTAGTATTTAATAATTATACACATATCAAATTATATCATTACAAGACTACGAGAGAGAGAGAGAGAGAGAGAATGAACTACATGTCAATGGATAGTAGAAGTTTTTCCAAAGGGAAAATATATTTTAAGAAAAAAAAAATCTTACATTGCTTCAGGATTCATTAGGCACACAGTTCCAGGACAGTAGCAATTAGACATGACATCGTATGTTAATCCCAGATTGATTCCAAGCAATTGAACCACAGCAACAGAAAATGCCTCCAAAGAAATCTTCATTGGATACTAAACAAAGAAAAAACACAGAATCATTGCCCAAAGCATTGCTTAAGATTTTAACATTTATTAATTTTTATTGCAAAGTCAGATACATAGAGAGATGAGGAGAGAAATATTTTCCATCCAATGATTCACTCCCCAAGCAGCCACAATGGCCGGTGCTGCACTGATTTGAAGCCAGGAGCCCAGAGCATGTTCCAGGTCTCCTACACGGGTGCAGGGTCCCAAGGCTTTGGGCTGTCCTTGATTGTTTTCCCAGGCCACAAGCAGGGAGCTGAATGGGAGGCAAGGTGGCCGGGATTAGAACCAGCGGCCATATGGGATCCAGGCGCATTCAAGGTAAGGATTTTAGCCGCTAGGCCACTGTGCTGGGCCCATGCTCTGATCTTAACAACTTTGTGAAATGTTATGAACAGGTATAAAAAAAACTAAGTATTTTCTTAAAGGATGTGGAAGACTAAAGGTTGGTTATATATTTTGCTCTTCTTTTTGAGTAACATAATTTTTATCCAATTACCATATAATAAAAATGTTAAAGATGTATTTTCAATATTTAAATATTTTATGAATTTAAGACTATCAAAGAACAATGTCTATTTCAAGGCTAACAAGGATTATTTTGTTTTAAAAAAAAAACATTATTTCCATAGAGGAAACATTTGGGAAACACAAAGATTTTGAAGCTCTTAATCAGAAATCAACTAAGAGATAAATAAAATAAAATGTTAAAAATTATTGAATCTAAGCCAAAGATAAATATTATTAAAACAGATCACTTGAGGCATAAGTCATTTTTCTCAAAGCAACACAATGAACAATACATTGCAAGCATATTTTCTCCACACATTTATAAGTCATTGGTCTTTATGTCTATCTCATAGACTTTTTATTCCCAATATCAGAAAGTGGAAATAATACAGTATATACCCTTTTCACATTACATCCTATAACCTACCAATATATATTTAAGGCTTGTCTATATCCTTTTATGTATTAATGGTTGATTTTTCAAATCAATGGTTAAGTATCACATTGTGCGGTTATCTTCATGTCTGTTTATTAATTCATTTATTAAAGACCATCTCTGTTACTTGAGATCTATAATATTTAAGGCTGTTATAAACATTCACGTGCATGTTTCTGTGATCAATTCAGTTGAATAAACACCAATCATGATTATTGTTAATTCCTGGGAAGCATTCACTGAGGATTGAAAGAAATTGTTGAAAAACTGCCCCAATGGAGCTGTATAAAACTCTACTTCTATTAAATGATGAATGAGAGTTGAGGGGTTTATTTTACATATAGAAACCTAAACATTCCACATGAAATAAAGGAATGAATACTGAATCACTTCAGCAAAAGTACAGAACATAAAATCAACACACAACAGTGGAATGTGTTTCTATAAAGCAGCGATGAATAATTTGCAAATTAAAGAAAAATTTCAATTAGAGAAAAATCACAGAAAATTAAGTGCTTTCTTAATCGAACCCAAAATAAAAGAATTGCATATGTACCACTGAAAGACAGTGCCAGAAGCATTTATGGCAGACACAAATAAGTAGAAATATGTCACACATACATAGATCATAAGACTTAATACTGATGGTTTGTTACTTTCTAAAGCAATTAATATTTTCAATATAATCTCTACATTACTCACAGGAGTTTTGTGTGGAAATAGAAAAAGTACACCTAAATTAACATGAAATATCAACAAGATTATAAATAGCCATAAAATGTTAACCACGGAAAGAAGAAATTTGGAAGCTTTGTAATCTTGATTTGAAATTTTGTGCAAGGATGGAAAAGAACATTCCAGGCCAACAGAATGGAAAACAATCCGATGCAGTCATTCTTGCATCCTATAATGCAGACTTCCATGTGGTAAACATTAAAAGAGATAAAGAGGGCACTACATGAAAAGTAATGAATCCATTTAACAAGAGGAAATAATGATAATAACTGCATATGTGCCAAATGCCAGGGCACCTTGCTATGTGGAACACATAATTGGTTTTAAAGGGAGATTTAGATTCAAATGCAATAATAGTGGGGACCTTAACATCCCACTAACTTTAAAGGAAAGATGATACAGAAAGCTAATCTGCTGCCTGCACAATCAGCTTCCTGTGTGGGTACCAGTTCCAACCCAAGCTGCACCACATCTAATTTAGCTCTGTGCTTATTGACAATGACTCAAGTCCCTGGGCCCTTGAACTTACATAGAAGAAGAAACTCATAGCTCCTAGAATTGGATTGGCTCAACTATGGCCATTGTGACTGGCCATTTGGGAAGACCAGGGATGGGAGATCCATCTCTCTCTTTCTGTTTCTCCTTCTTTCTGTAAATCTGCCTTTCAACAACAAATAAATATTGCTCAAAAACAAACAGCAAAAAAACAAACAAAAAAAACCCAGCAGAACTCACCTATATAATAGAACAAATAGAATTAATCCATACCTACAGAATGTTTCTTCTTATACACACTAAATACAGCTTTTTTTTTACCAGTAGGAGGAAAAATATGATAAAAATAAGAAAATAAATAATATTTTTAAAAAGTAACACAAAATATCAGTGAAATGAGGAACTGGCTTCTTGTAAGAGTATACCAAATTGACACATCATTGGCTAACCTAACCAAATCAGAGGAGAATATACTATCAGCCAAATCGGCACTGAAAATGGGTTCTTACAACAGAAACTACAATTTAAAAAAAAAGTTATTACTGACAGCTATATGGCAACAAATGGATAATCCAGAAGTAATGGGTAGGTTTCTGCACACATACAATCTACCAAAATTGAGTCATGAAGACATATAAAACATAAGTAAATGAATAACCAAGATGGAGATTGGCTCACTGGTGAGGACACCTCTGACGAGAAAGGGACTGTGACCAGAGGGGTTTATTGTTGAATCTTACTAAACATTTAAAGAGGATCTAAACTCTACTCTTCTAAAATGATTCAAAACAATTGAAAGGGAAGGAATTCTCCAAAACATTTTTCATGACACCATCAGAAAAAGGGACAACAAAGAAAGAGTAGTAGAAGTGAAAACTGCTGGTGAACATGGCAGCAAAATTCCTCAAAAGAATCACTCCCAATAAAATCCAACAACACATCAAGATCAATCACGATGAGCAGTGGGTTTTATCCCTGCTGAAGAGGGTTGGTTCAATAAATACTGATCAGTGACCACAGTGCATCCCATTAAAATTGTCTAACAAAAAAATAACATGGCCAGCACAATAAATGCAGCAAAAACAACAACAACAAAAACCACTTAAATGCTTTGGAATAAGTTTAATCAAACAAGGGACAAATCTTTATAATGGAAATCCCAAAACATTAAGAATAGAGATAGAAGCAGACGGCATGCTAAAAATAGAAAAAATCCCCATGCCTATTGATTATATTAACTTATATAATGAAAATATCCACACTACCCAAAGCACTTCACAGATACAGTGCTATTCAAAATACCGATTCAAAATACGAAAACAATTCTCAGGTCTAGAAAACAGTGAACTTAAGATTCATAAGAGCAGGCCTGATGCAATATCCTAGTGGTGAAAATCTTTACTTTGCATCCACCGGGATCCCATACGGGCACTTGTTTGCGACCCAGCTGCTCTACTTCCCATTCAGTTCCCTGCTTGATACCTGGGAAAGCAGTCAAGGATGGCACAAACCCTTGGGACCCTGCACCCACTTAGGATACCACATAGGACACCTGTAGGAAGTTCCTGGCTCCTGGCTTTGGATCCGCTTAGCTCTGGCCATTGCAGCCTTTTCAGGAGTGAACCAGCAGAGGGAAGATCTTTCTCTCTGCATCTCCTTCTCTCTGAATATCTGCCTTTCTAATAAAAATAAATAAAATAAATCTTTTTAAGAGTCTAGTTAAAGCAATGCTAATAAAAGTACATCTTAATGCATCATGATATCTGACTTCAAGACATATTACAAGGCAATTATAATGTAAACAGCTTGGTAGTAACACAAGAATAGACATGAGGGACAATGACTAGAACAGACTAGAGATCCCAGACATCAATCCACACATCTACAAAGATGAGTTCTACAATCCCTAGAGAAAGGACAAGATCATGAAACATAACAACAAAACAGATAATCCGGCTAAGGAATGGATCGAGGCTATAAACAGGAATTTTTCAAAGGATGGAATAGAAATGGCAAGCAGACACCGGAAAAGAAACTTGGTAACCACAAACGAAAACTGCCATGACATTTCATCCTCATGCAATCAGCCTGATTATTACACAAAAATCAAAACCTTGCAGAAGCTGGTCAGGATGTAGGGAAAATGGTGCCCTAATTCATGGTTGGTGGGAATATAAAATAGTAAACAATACCATGTAAATATTAGAAGTAATATGGAAGAGAAACTGAAGATGCATCAGAAATCTGAAAAATAGACCAAGTGACCCAGTCCATGCCAACCTGAAGAATTAACTCAAAGGATATTAAATCACTATAAGATTTACCTGAGTCCCCAGTGCTTATGGCACCTTAGCTCACCTTAGCTGTTCTGGGTGCAACCTTGATGCCCACCAACTGTGTAGACTGCTCAAAGAAAGTAGGACAAATGTACATGATCACCACACAAAAAAGAAAAAAGAATGAAGTCCTGTCTTTTGAAATAAAATCAAGTAGATTCCATTACTTTTAAGGAAATAATACATTAAGTTTAGTGAAATAAGTCTCTTCCAAAGATGAGCATCTTAAGTCTTTCCTGACTTGTAGTAACTAATATACAGAGTAACAAAAATGCATTGTGTATTTATGAAATTCATGCTTCCATATTTGATTATTGTTAATGGACGTTTGCGATTAAACATATGTATATATATCCAACTTTAAGTAAAATCTGTGTCAAATAACACAATCCTCAAAGTAGAAAAGCAACTCATGAAAATGGAGAAAACATTTATAAATCCAGTATTTGCCAAGGAGTTTACATCCAAAGTAATCCATTTAAAACATGAGCCAAGGGCCTGCACAGTAGCTTGGCAGCTAAAGTCCTCACTTTGCATGTGCCAAGATCCCAAATGGGCACCAGTTTGTATCCTGGCTGCCCTGTTTCCCATCCAGCTCCCTGCTTGTGGCCTGGGAAAGCAGTCAAGGACAGCCCAAAACCTTGGGACCCTGCACCCATGTGGGAGACCTGGAAGATGCTCCTGGATCCTGGCTTCGGATCAGCTCAGTTCCAGCCATTGTGGCCACTTGGAGAGTGAATCATTGGACAGAAGATCTTCCTCTTTGTCTCTCTTCCTCTTTGTATATCTGCCTTTCCAATAAAATAATCACCGCTAAAAATAATAACAATGTATGTCTCATCAGCTGGGATATCACTTTATTTCATTATGACTGATATTAAGCAAACAGAACAGTGAATAAAAAGGGAGGTCTCACGGAGAAGCAGGAACAGTGCAAGCCACTTTAGAATTCAACAGGTTATTAAAGACCAATAACAAAAACAACAGCCAAGATTTGTAAATAATTGTGACTGGCAAGGAAAATGTGGTATCTGCAATGAAAAGCATTCAATCATAAAATCAAGGAGATCATGCTTAGTGCTACAACACTGGTAAACCTTGTGGACACTGTGTTGGCGAAGTGAGACAGTCACAGTAACATAGCATGCATAACTCCACTTCTATGTGGAATTTAAAAGAATGAAACTGAGAAAACACAAAATACAGCTAAGGTAGCCAGTAACAAAAATGGTGGTGTTTCATAAGTGTAGAGTTTCACTCTTACAGGATGAGAAACTGGATACCTCCTTCACCACATGAAAATATTCACTGGTGAGCACTTAAGAACGCTAAGTGGGGAAGTTTTGTTATGTACTTTCCCAGAAATAACAAAGGCCTTAAAAATTGATATTGAGTATAGAGACAAAAAGCATCATCCCATAAATATTTGACAAGATTATATGACAGGCGCATTACGTGTATTTTTGTTTGGAGATATGGATATTAGTGTTCTAAACCTGGTATTATTACTCAAGTACTGGGAATAAATGCATACCAGGACAACTCCTACAGCAAACTTTGGATCGCATGCCGTTCTATAATATGTTGTTCCCACAAAGTCAGCTTGGTCTCTGTAACTACAGAATAGAAAATATGTTTGTAAATATATACATAGAAATTGTCTATTACCTTAATGTTCTACCAACTGGATTTTGTAGTACAACTATGTCTTCATTATGTTTCAAACCACCATGTCTTATGCTTTCTGTTGCGAAGTATTGGAGTCATGGCTCTGAGTTCACAGAAGTGCCTATCCTGCCCTCCCCTCCCCACAATTTAAAATATCAATATTGTCCTCAGAGGGTGGACATGATTCTAAGATACACATACCCTGACTGTTAAGTACCATGACTTCTGTACAGGAAATCTACCCTAACAATGTGTTTAAAGCATTGGATTGGAGGAGAGCAGCGAGAAAGAATAAAATACGAAGCAGACACACTAAGAGAGAAAAGAAAGGCAGTACAAAGCCTGCTCACTCCTTTAGTCTTTCTTATTGTTGCTCTAGACTTAAGAATCTCCTTAGAATACACTTGAGACACACATTGATGAATTTATCAATTTATTTCAAATTCTTAACATGGTTAGTATTCTGCTTCATAGCAAAAATATTAAATAAGGAAAACAAAAAGTGACAGAAATCATCCTTAAAAAAGTACAAATAGTTGAGTAGTTGCATCTCTGGTCAGCATGAGAGGAACCTAACCACAAGCAGAGGGAGGTAGTCCATTTCAGTCCTTGCTTCTATAGTGTAACATGTCAGGCAAGTGCTGTGCCATAGGGACTGATTCACACTATATCTAATGCTGAAATGATGGTTAACTCATCTCCCCCTGAGAAGGTTTTCCTAACCAAAGAAGGCTTGACTGCCCCAGGACTTTGCATTTTCCATCTCAGCACCCTTCCATAAGCAGTCCACTCTGAGAATGATTGGATACTATGATTTAAAGAGTGTCTCAAGTGGTTATCAGGGTTTATGTTTTTCCATTTTGCCAACACCCTACTCATATAATGTTAGATTATCATCAGATATAAACGTTGTCTTTAATTTCATTAGTTACCAAAACAAGTAAAGTAACAAATTTTGTCAATGTGAATAAAGTGCTTACATTAATAAATAGGACATTTCATTGGGACTTTGAAGTATATTTGCCTTTTTCCATGACAGGAATCTTTGTAATATTTCCTCAGCAGTTCCCTTTGTTGAAATCTTATTTTCTTCTGACCAGAGCTCCAGAGAAGTCAGCAATATAGTTGTTTTTAATTGAGAAAATATCTAAAATAAAAGACAATAAATGGTGTACCAATTTTAATAACTGAAAATATTGTATCCCTATAGCTAAGTGTAATACATTAAATTAGCTGTTACTTGTAAATGAGCCAATCGGTAAATGGAAATAACACACAGAATGACACTGTTATAAAACAAATTCAATAATTTCAACTGCACTAAAACCATCTCTAGCTTAAATATTAAGCATAAATACTTACAGAATTAACAAGAGCAAATATACGAACAACTTTTTCAGTAGCCAGGTCTGCTTCAGAGCCCAAAAAATTATACTGGAAGACAAATATTTGCTTCTTAATCATTTTATATAAGTTGATTATCACATTTCAAAAGTCTTTGAATATAAAAGTTAAAACAATGCCTACACCAAAATAGAATTAAAATTTATGAAACGAATAATTCATTTTAGGCATAATTCTAAAGTGAATAGTGCTAAATTAAAATCTTAAATATTCAAAGTTATATGACTTGGTATGTATATACCCTTATAGGTACACTATTTTATCTGACAATTATAAAATGTAATATTAGAATTAACCATACTAAACTGAGATATGATGATCATATTATTCTTCACAGATAAGGCAATTAAAGTACAAACATTCCAAGAACACAAAAGCAATACCAGAACTCAAACCTCTCTAAACTAAACATCTCATCTTAGTTTGTACACTAGCATATGCTGTCACAATTTGTCTCTGCCATAATAAAACCATGACTTTACATTCTAGGAAAACAAGATATAAAAACAATATAGGAAACACAAGACCGTGATAGTCAAATTTCAGCAATGCGTCATCATGATGAGTTACAAAAACATGATCCTTTTTTCCATAATGTTATTTCTAACAGTTTTGCCCCCCCAAAATTGCTAAACACCATAATAACTGACAGCTTCCATATTACCTAGTAAACTGTCACAGCAAATTAAATGCATTGGATACTGTTCCTTTCAAAACAGCACAAAGAGATATCATCTTTGCAACTCTTCTAGAACAAGATCTTTACCGATGAATTTACAACACTCTGCTGTTTGCAATCCTCCTTAACAGACCAGGCTACACATTGAAACAAGTGAAGGTGATCCTTGGCAAGTCAGATATAGAAAAGGCCTTAAAAACCATGATTACAAAAAAAAAAATCAGAAAATATCAATAGATCAAATCCTATGCTAATTTAACAGAAATTTCAAAACCTGTTATGTGTAACACTGTGTGGGTAGAATCTTTGTGTCTGTTTTCCAAATAAATATCTTAATAAAAAAAAAGGAAAAGTGGATATCTTCTATTATCATGATAATTCAACACAATATATGCTTTTATATCACTGTTTTATTGACTGATATTTGTAGCAATTACTGAATGAAAATATTATAACAGATAGACAAAATACTGTTTGTTAGAAAGACAGTAAAAACCTTGCTTAATTCTTACAACAATATAAGTTATCAATTAAATTTCACAGGCTATTAAATGCAAATTTAATTGAATTGTGAGATTTATTTTTTACAAAATTCTCTTAACTAATATATCAAGCAAACAGATTACAGTAAAGATATAAGTAATGGGAATGACATACACAAGAGGAGTAAAGATGATTAATCGGGGGGTAGGAAGCCATGAGTGCAAAGAGAGCTGTGAGACAAAGTCAGGTGGAGCACAGAGCTGGACAAAATGAAAAGCACCAGAAGCTTCCTGGAGGCTGCTGGAGAGAAGTAGAGCTGCACAAAGAAAACCTGAAAAGACACACATGATTGCAACCAGCAGCCCAGCAGGAAGGTGAGCCCAGGTGACCTACCGGAGGGCACCCAAGCCCATAAAGGACTGGGGAATTTGGGACCAGCACAAGTCTCAGAGGGAGCCCCCTCCAAGAAACAGTGTGAGGCAAAAAGCCATAGAACAAAACTCTGGTGAGGAGAAGCAAGGCTGAATAAAGCTCACAGGCCGACCCGATGGATTGCATCCCAGATTCGGAAAGATGCGGTGCTGGGGAACCAGCCACTGGATGGTGAGATGCTGGAGGGTGATCTGGCTGAGTATGGGACTCCGGGAAGGAATACGGTGCCCACTCAACACCCAGAGGGCTTGTACCCCTAACTCCCTGAGAGTAAACAGGACTAACCGAGAGGCAAACTCTAGGACCCTGGTGGGAGCAGAGACCGAGTCAGGATCAGCTGCAGGAATCCTGGAATGAAGTGCAAGAAAAGTTCATACCCATCTGCCTAGCTGTCAGGACCTAATATTGTGAGAGTGAAGATCGTCAGGGCCCCAGGTGCAGCAGGAATCGGTGGTGTGCGTGAGTGGCCCCTGGTAAGACTGTAGCTGGGAAACTACTGGCAGAGCTAGCTTTCTGAGCAGAGCAGCAGTCCTAGCAGAGACATCAGCAATAAATACACAGACCCACTTGCTCCACAGACAAAGAGGAACAACTCCCAAGCAGCTAAAGAAAACAGCCAGGGCGCCATTAACTGCAGAGACAGAGGCCAAAACCTCCCCACCTGCAAACTCAGAAGCCACAAGCAAAATTAGCTTGAAAAGAAAGCCCATACATCTGAAAGACCATGGGAAATGAAAACAGAAAAACGAGCAATATAAATGAGGAAATTACTGCTTCCCTAAAAAAAGGACCAAAGACCAACTCAGTCTTAAGAGTGACAGGATAAATAAGTTGAGGAGTTTACTATTATTATTATTATTAAGAAATTTTATTATTTCTTAATGTTTGTTAATAATAATATTGATTTTATTTTTGAGAAAATTTTATTAAGAAACAATAATAATTAAGAAATTATTATGAAGAAATAACAATAATAATAATAATAAATCATTATAAAACTTCAGAGACAATGAGAAGTCATGTTAAGAATTCAACGGATTTCAGGGAAGTATCACAACAGAGATACAAACTATAAAACAGATCCAAACTGAAATACTTGAAGAATACAACAGAACAAAATAAAAAAAGGTGACAGAAAGCCTTATCAATTGAAAGAATGAGGCAGAAAAAAAGAATATCAGAACTGAAAGACACACAATCAGACTTAGGGAAGAGAACCTGAATAAAGAAAAAAAACAAAAACAAACCCAAGACGTGAATGACTGAATGACAGCTCTAACGACAGAATTAAAAGAATTCCTGAAGGTATGGAAAGAGAGGCAGGATCGTAAGAAGTACTAAATGAAATTATAAAAAGAGAACTTCCCAAACATTGGGAAAATAAGAAAAAGCCAAGTGCAGAAAGGGCAGAGAACCCCAAACACATTCAATCCAAAAGGATCCTCACACAGTCACATTGTTGTCAAGCTTCTCTCAACTGAATATAAGGAACGAATACTGAAACAAGCATGTCAAAAGGATTAGATGACATACGAGGAGAAACCAGTGAGAGCCACTGCTGACTTCTCAGAAGAGACTCTTCAAGCAAGAAGAGAATGGAGTGACATTTTCCAGATCCTCAAGCAGAAAAACTGTCAACCCGTACCAATAGATACAGCATAGCTCTCATTAATTTGAAACTGAAATAAAATATTTCCACAGTGAAAAGAAGCAAGAAGACCTTACCAACACTAAGCCAGCTGTACAAACACTACCCAAAAACGTGCTGAAGACAGAAAAAAAGGGAGTTAGTCACACTCAATGACGATGGGGCGGGGAGGGGGGGAGGTTCCTCCCATTAAAGCCCACAAAATAAACCAAACTTAAACAGAATTCACAACGCAAGAATGGCAGGACCAAATCGCAACCTATTGATATTAACTCTGAACACAAATGGCTTAAACTCATCAATCAGAAGACACAGATTAGCGGAATGGATCAAAAAGTAGCACCCTTCAATCTGCTGCCTACAAGAGACACGTCTAATTAAAGCCACATGGAAGCTGAAAGTGAAAGGATGGAAACGAATGTTTCATGGCAACTGAAAGGGAAAAAGAGCCAGTGTAGCTATCCTATCAGTAAAAGAGTAAAAGAAAAAGGGTGAGAGAGATGAAGGGGGACTCTACATAATGACAAAGAGATCCCTCTGGCAAAAAGAAATTAACAATAATAAATTTTTACACACTGAGTACAAGGGCCCCTAGCTACATGAAGCAATTATTGCCAGACCTAAAGGGAGACACAGATGCTAACACAGTAAGAGTGGGGAACTTGAAACCCCATGAATATCAACAAGACAGACTGATGAGACAGAAATCTGGAAAGAAAGCCAACAAATCTCACACGGACAACAGCACAAATGGACTTAACTGATATATACAGAACCTTTCATCCCACAAACACTGAATACACATTTTTTTTTCAGCATTACATTAAACCTTATCCAGGACCGACACTCTTATTATAGGTCACAAAACAAGTCTCAGTAATTTTTTGTTGAAAAAATAAAAAGTGAAATCATCCCATTCATCTTGTCAGACTGTTATGGAGTGAAACCAGAGGCCAGTAAATCAAAATACTCCAGGAAATCTGTAAATTCTTGGAAGCTAAACAACATGCTACTGAATGAAGCGTAAGTCAGAGAAGAAATCAAAGAGGAAATTGAAAAATTCCTTGAAATCAACAAAGACTCAACCACAATGTTCCAAAACCTATGGGACACTGCCAAGACAGCGTTAAGAGGCAAATTTAAGGCAATTAGTGCCTACATTGGGAAACAAGAAAGACACCAGCTAAATGAGCTAAGCATATACCTGAAGGAGACAGAAAAACAACAATAAAATAACTTTCAATTTCAAATAAAGGAGAAATAAGTGATAACACAGTGTAGCATAAACTTGAATAAAAAGAATGAAGGCTAATTCTTGCCATTTATCTGACTACGAAGTTACTTTCAAAGTCCTGATTCATTTAATCTACAACTAAATAATTTGTATTAATTCAACTGAATTTGAAATTTATTTTAATTGGCTCAAGTTAATACTTAAAATTCAAGGATTAAAAATAATGCAATTTCAGATGAACAAATATAGAGAAGTGTATCAGAAATAAGAAAAATTAAGATCGGTGAAAAACTTGAGACTAAGAATGAATTATGAATTGGGAATTAATTTCTTCAAACAGCATTATAATTTTCTTACTGAAAATTATACTATAGTTTATGCCACCTGGTACATAAACTATCACATTACTACTATTTGATTAGGGTTAAGTGGGATTTTTTTTTTAAAAAAAGATTTATTATCTTCATTGCAAAGTCAGATATATAGAGAGGAGGAGAGACAGTGAGGAAGATCTTCCATTCAATGATTCATTCCACAAGTGTCCCCAACAGCCAGAGCTGCGCTGATCTGAAGCCAGGAGCCAGGAGCCTCTTCCAGGTCTCCTACATGGGTACAAGGTCCCAAGGCTTTGGGCCAACCTCTACTGCTTTTTCAGACAACAAGCAAGGAGCTGGATGGTAACCTGGGATGCCAGGATTAGAACTGGCACCCATATGGGATCCTGGTGTGTTCAAGGCAAGGACTTCAGCTGCTAGGCCACTGCATCAGGCCCTAAAAGGGATATTTGAGGAGCAGCTCTTTCATTACACAGAAGGTATTAGTATAATAGCATTTTAGATAATGGTAAGTTAAAAATACTAATGGGAATAACAGAAAAACAATTGGTGTGGGGTGTGACAAACAGATTGAGCTGGAAAAACATGGGTGTGTAGATGAAGAGTGACCTGTTATCCCACGGAAGGAAAGGAGACAGGAACAGCCCAGGAAGGAGAACAAAGAATGCTGGTAGAGAAGTATTCCTTAGCCCAGGCACGCGGTGCTCAGCACGCTGACGGAGACGTACTGAGTCACAGCACCAACGATCACTCAAGGTTTGTTTGTTTGTTTGTTTAAATACAGGACTTCGATGTAGGAGGCACCCACTCCCATTGGGATCTACCACATGGGATGGAAGAAGTCCAAATCTTTCCTTGCAGGATCCAAGGTCATCGGAACAACAGCCAAGAACCCTGAGACACAGAGGAACAGCAAACTTCCTTCCAGACTAGGGAGAGGAGATTTCTCTGGTCCTTACTTAGTTCCAACTTTGGATCCCCAACCTCTCTTGCAATGATTATCAGGGTTGCTCCGGAGTCCCCACTGCAAAAAAAACTAACAAACAAATAAACAAAATTAGAATAGACAGAGAACAACAAGGAAAGGTTAGAACCAGACAGGAAACAGTCAGCATGGATTCACATATACCTTACTAGGCAGGACACAGAGATTAGACACTCCTCACTAAGGTATTGAAGATTTCTCTGCACACCCCTCCTAAAACTGTTCTGCACCTCAATTGTTGACATATGCCTTGCTAGAGTTATAAGCCAGTTTAGACTATCCTAAAATCTTCCAAGTTCAGCAAAATTATGCTTCAACACTATAGACTGCTAAATACTAAAATGAGGATAGACACGAGACAGTTGAATAATACCCTATAGCCACTTTAAGGTGTATAGAAGCGGTAGTGTATAAACTAAAATCGAAATGTCAATGAAGTAGTCACAGGATGTGGTTAAGAACTTGCATTTTTTTAACATGTTGGTTACCCATTACCATGTCAATTAATTCCATAATGTTGTAAATTGCTGTTGATGTTATGCTGTGGCTTTTAATTGATCAGGATGATATTCTGCCAGCTCTACCTTCAGACCAGAGATGATCTCCCCAAGTAACCGTTGAATGTATCTGGACAATAAGATGCTGGACTCTATGCTTGGTATATGCTTGCAATGAAAGAATCTCAACAAGGTGGAGGAATCCACCATGGGGGGAAGATATATGGAGGGGTTGGGGGAATCCCAGAGCCTATGAAACTAGGTCACATAATGCAATGTAATTAATAAATTAAAAATAAATTAATAAATAAATACAAGACTTCCACCAAAAAGTGATACATCAAAAGAACATTTAAAAAAACTAGTATTTTCCTATTTAATAACTCCAGAAATAATTTCTCTTAAAATGGAAATACAAGTCATAAGGAAGTAGACTAATGATTCATACCATGGCTTTATCCATAATGATCTGAATTTTCAGAGTACTTTTCTGTAGGGCAACATCTGACAGTTTCTGTGAAATATAGCACATAAATTAAAAAGAATATTTAAAAATTCTTGAAAATATCCTGTAGACTATCAAAGGCACATACAAGTAGAGACAGACACATCCCGTCTTACTGATACAGATAAAAGTAAGCAATGATGTTGACAGCCCAAAACTGAAAGACCACCCCCCGCCCATGGAACATAATCAGATAGGAGTCCAAATAAAAATTTAATCCTCAAATCAGTAGGGTTTTATATTCTATTTTTGGAAAACCAGAATCATAAAAAGTGACTTGTAGGCTTTTTTTTCCTCTTAAAAGATTTTTTTTTCCCTAGTAGAACACCCTTACTGGCATCCTTGAAGCTAAATCAGTTTTGATTAAATGTCTCCTAATTTTACTCGTATACAAAACATTTTAAAATGTACTTCTTTGCCTTTATTCCCAGTGAGCTGTGATCTTTTTCTTGGTTGAGATTTTAACCCATGGAACATTAAGCTTTTGACCATGGTACAAATTTTTAAAATGTTATCTCAATAATTAATACAAGGAAAAAATCAAGTGTCTCCCAAAAGTTGCCTCAGTTTTGTCATTTATGCAAGATTTACTGGGATTAGCATTGTGGCGTGGAGGGGTATGGTGTCTTCTGCAATGCAGGTAACTTATATGGATGCCAGTTGGAGATCCCGCTGCTCCTCTTCCAGCCCAGCTTTCTGCTGCTGTGCCTGGGAAACCAGAGGAAGCTGGGCTGAGCGCTTGGACCCTACACCACACGGCTGAGCATGAAGAAGCTCCTGCCTTCTGCTTGCAGACCAGCTCAGTGCTTACCATTGTGGACATGTGTGGGGCAAACTAATCTACGAAAGTCTTCTCCCTGTGTGTCTCTCCCTCTCTGTAATTCTCAAATAAATAGTACAATTTTTCAAAAAAGGATTTGCTTCCTCGAAAGGCACAGCAACAGTAGGGGTGGGCATGAGAAGGAGAGAAAGAAGAGAGACAGATTGGTGGAGACTCCATTCACTGATTTACTCACCAAATGGGTAGAACGTGTGTGTGCGCGCACGCCTGCCTGTGTGTCTGCTTTGCAAATAAACATTTTAAAAAGAACAAAAGCCAGACTGAACCCAAGAACTAAGGAACCCCATCCTGATCTCACACTGAAAGGGGCCCAACCTTCTGCTGCCTTCCCAGGTACATTAGGAGGGAGCTGCCATCAGGAGTGGAGCAACTAACTCAATCCAAAACCCCTTTACAGACGCCAACATTGCCAGCAGAGGCTTAATGTGCTGTGCCACAATGCCAGTCGCATCCATTGTTTCAATGCTTTTACATTGTTTAAGCAGAAGAAAATACCATCCTTCAACAGTGTCGACAAGAGCAACAAATAACCAAATCTTAAAATGTTAATTCTGCTTATATGCATCACATTTCTTTTACTTTGCATATTAATGAAACAAGTCAACCCTAAAACAAAGATATCATATTTTCACTGATTTTTCAATAAACGTATGTATTCAGTCATCTTATGTGTACAGTCATGGAACCAGTTCCTTAATTAACATCCACATTAGTTTCATCACTTGCTATTAGAAGTCAGCAGCCCTCATGGCTTTCCGTTTATTTTGCAATTGAAAGTGCATTTCGGGGGAAAAAAAATACTTTCTGAAGTCTTACTTGTCTACGCCTTGATTTTTGAAAACAGGAGCATCTTCACCTGGTTTCTTCCCTGTGATTCTATTAGTCTCTGTGTTTAATCATGGTATCTGTGGATGGTGTTCTACGCAGTTTGCCATGTACAGAGCTAGGTCATCTAATCAATAAGAAGGTCACTTTCCCCCTTTGGATGCCGCTTGTCTATAATGACAGCAATGATGACAACAACGACATCGACAATAACTTAGTTATTCCGGCCGCACTGTTGCACGGGAAGGGGGAAGGTATGCATCCTTCCCTGGCTCTGGTTCCTACTCCGGGCGGCTGGCGCTGTTGTAAGGAACACATTCAGAGCATCAGGTGCCAATGCAGTGTAGAAACTGGTTTCTCACAGTTTTGGAGGCTAGCAATGAAAGTGCTGGAGTAGCGGAGGTCTGCGAAGGATATTCCGGCATTTCTTTCTGTTTTTCACATTCTTGTCATCTTTTTTCCTCACAACATGGGGAGCAGACAGAGATCTGGTACAGACTTGTTTAAATAAGAGCATTGATCTCATCATGAAGGCCTCTACCTTTACGACATAATCTGACTGTTAACTAAAACACAATGCCAAAACTTCCGTGAAATCACCTTAGCGGGTTAGGGTTTCAATATGGATTGTCAGAGGATGTAAGCTGTTAACTACAGCTGGCAAAAACCTTCAGTCACCTTCCTGCAATATGCTGGTTTGGGGGTATCATGCACATTTTAAATTAGATCAAGAAAGTTCCCTACTCCCAGTTTCCATCACAAACATGTGCAAAATTTTAAGAAACACTTTTTCTTATTGTCATGCTCTGCATGGATATATGAAATTACATTGTTCAATATGAAGCCTGGGCCCAGCACGGTGGTCTAGCAGATAAAGTCCTTGCCTTGAATGCACCAGGATCCCATATGGGTGCCAGTTCTAATCCCAGAAGCCTGCTTCCCATCCAGCTCCCTGCTTGTGGCCTGGGAAAGCACTCGAGGACGGCCCAAAGCCTTGGGACCTGCACCCATGGGGAGACCTGGAAGAACTCCTGGCTTTGGATCAGCACAGCTCTGGCCACTTGAGAGTGAATCATCGGACAGAGATCTTCCTCTCTATTTCCTCTCTCTCTATATATATGACTTTGCAATGAAAATAAATAAATCTTTTTAAAAAAAGAATACGAAGCCTACAGTGGCAAGCTATCAATAGCAAAATGGCCATAAAAGGTACCTTTTGTGCCCTAGCTGAAAGTTCAGTACAAACAAGAACATTAGATTGGTTCACTACAACATGACTGAGAAATTAAGGTTGAGCAAACTTTATAGTCAGTGAGTACCAAAATGGGCAAACACAGATCAGTTGCAGTCAGGGAAGGTTTTATTTGAAACTTCATGTACTATTGCTCGCTTGCTCTTTGGAGGGTAAGGCACTTTTGTGATTTGAGAAAGACAGATAAGCTTCAGCAGAGAAATGCCCAGATACCTTCGTTTCTGAATCTGTGTACACACCTGTGAGCACACATTCAGAAATGAAGAGAGGGATAAATGAGAGGAGAGAGAGAGAGAGAGAGAGAGAGAGAGAGAGAGAGAGAGAGAGTCTTCCAACTGCTGGTTCATTCCCCCAAATGATTGCAATGGCCAGAGCTGAGCTGATCTAAAGCCAGGAGCAGGAGCCTGGACACTCCTCTGAATCAACCACATGGGTGCAGGAACCCAAGGCCTTGAGTTGTTCTCTGATGCTTTCCCAGTCCGTAAACAGAAAGCTGGATTGGAAGTAGAGATGCCAAGACTTGAACTGCCACCCATATGGACACTGTGAGTGAAGCTTTAGCATACAACACCATGATGCCAGCCACACTATTTTAAAATGTATTTAAGTGAAATTGAACCTGGATTGTTTTCCTGGCTCACAGAGTCAACTCGGCTCAGCTCTGGCTATTTCATTTGAGGAGTAAATCAGAGGATGGGAGAGATCTTTTTGTTTGCCTCTGTCTTTCTGCCTTTCAGATAAAACAAAAAAGAAAAACATTCATGTTCAGCAAAAAAAAAATAAAAAATTAAATTTAAGGAGTCAGTTCCTGAGAAGCAGGAATTAACTTCTAGGACATACCAGAGGGGGGGAAAAAAGACCTTTTTCAAAGTCTAGATTTATTATCATTGGCTACAAATTGTATTGTTAAAATATAACAAGACAGAAAACAGAGTGCTTGCCCTGCTACAGGACAAGCTGTTGCAGAATTTTAAAAAAAATCAACAAAATAGGAAACCTTTATGTATTCTGGTTTAAAAGTTATCAGGCTCTTAAAGTCCACAACCCACGCAGTGTGCAGCATCCCAGCGTTTCTTTTCATGACAGCATAGTTTGATGTGTTCTGACCTGCTTCTTGCTTCTTTTTTTCATATAAAGAAAAACGCATCTTGGAAAAATGATAACATTTTGTCATTTTGTCCCCTCCAAATATAAGTATTTTTCCAGCATTCACCCATTCATAGAAAATGACTCATGGTAGGGAAATCCAACGTAAATACTCATGAGAAATTCATTCAAATGACTTGTTGCAAGTGAAAAGAAAATTGACTCAGATCGCATTTTCCTTAGCAAGGACGTCTGCTCCACTAAGTGGAATGTGTGAATTCTAGCAACTATTTTCTTGAGTTATGCAGAAAGTGTTCCTTTCCTGATTCACTCGTCTGCCTCCTCCTTTTTCTTCTAACATTTGATTTATTTGATTTTTTTTTCTAGGATTTGTTTTTATTGGAAAGTCAGATTTACTGAAAGAAAGAGAGGAAGAGAGAAGGATCTTCCATATGCTGGTTCACTCTCCAAATAACAGTAATAGCCAGAGAGGAGCTGAGCTGATCCAAAGCCAGAAGCCAGAGGCTTCTCCCCGGTCTCCATGTGGATGCAGGGTCCCAAGGCTATGGGCCCACTTTTACTGCTTTTTCAGGCCAGTGGAGCAACCAGGACAGAAACCAGAGCCCATATGGGATCCCAGTGTATGGAAGGTCACTAGGCTACTGCACTGGGCTCTTATCTGATTTATTTGAAAGGTGGAATGATAGAGAAGCAGGATGGAGGGAGAAAAGGAGGTGGGGGAGAAGGAGAGAGATCATTTGGTTCACTCCTCAAACACGCGAAACAGTCAGGGCTGAGTCAGGCCGCAGTCAGTATACATCAGCTCCTTCCATGGTTCCAAATGAGTGGCTGGAAATATTTGTGCAGTCATCTACTACCCTCTCAGGGGAATGAGCAGCAAACTGGGCAGGAACTTGAGGCAGAACGCAAACCCAAGTATTTCCAAATGAGACGCAGACTTCCCAAATGACAACTTCATCCATGAGCACACAAGGTTCATCTCAGTATGTCTTACATTTTCTAACCATTTTTTTACTCACATTTAAATTAAACACAGTGTATAAGCAAGAACTAATACAATAAACATCTATGAAATTTTGTTTTCTGGGCCTGATGCAATATCCTAGTGACTAAAGTCCTTGTATACATACACCAGGATCCCATATGGGCGCCGGTTCTAATCCCGGCAGCTCCACTTCCCATTCAGCTCCCTGCTTGTGGCCTGGGAAAGCAGTGGAGGACGGCCCAAAGCCTTGGGACCCTGCACCCATGTGAGAAATCTGGAAGAGGCTCCTGGCTCCTGACTTCGGATTAGCTCAACTCCAGCCATTGTGGCCACTTGGGGAATGAGCCAGCAAACAGAGGATCTTTCTGTTTCTCCTTCTCTCCGTAAATCTGACTTTCCAATAAAAACGTTGTTAATTTTGTTTTACAGCTTTTCATTTAAGGAAAAAAAATAGGTAAATTTAAACATTTTTGTTTGTTTGTTTTCTATGCTTGTCAGACCTCAAAATTTAAATTTAATATGAATATTTTCCCAAAAGTAACACAAGATATCATGAAAAAACTCACGGACCTCTGATTTGACCAGAATCTTGTAGGACTTGCTTATACTTTGAGTCATGTTTTCATATTCTTGTAAAGGCGAATAACCAGTTTCATGATTCTTTGTTTGAAAAACGATATGTTCGTTACTACCTGAAGATTCCACTGGTTCAATCCCATAGCTGACATTCTCAAACTGTAACACTCCCCTAAATATTTGAACACACACACAAAAAATGCAATTTTAACCAGAGCACATTTTCCACAGAGAAATGCAAATCAGAGTAGAAAGCTGGCATAATTTGTTAGTTATTATTGCGTTCCAATACGTGACAACCATTATGTACCACATCCATTTCTTTTTAAACTTCTGTCTATCACTGAATTTAGGCATAGACACCTTTTGAGTGTGGCTATGCAACCTGAGAATTTAGGAGTTGGTGCAGTGGCTCAACACGTGCCGCCAACCGATACGGCTGCCAGTTCGTGTTCCAGCCACTCGATGTCTGGTCCAGCTCTCTGCCTATGGCTTGGGAAAGCAGCAAGGATGGCCCAAACCCTTGGGGATCTTGTGGAAAACCCAGAAAAGAAGCTTCTGGCTTTGGGTTTAGCTCAGCTCTGGCATTGTGGCCACTTAGGGAGTGAACCAGCGAATTAATGGTAGATTTTTCTGTCTCTCCTTCTCTCTCTCTCTCTCTCTCTCTCGGTAAATCCATTTTTCCAATATAAATAAATAAATCTTTAAAAATTTTTGAAAATTCTTCATGATGTAAGGAGAATTTTTCTGCTTAAAAGTGTGACTGAAAGCCTCTTTTACAATGAAAGGAGAAAGAATAAAAACAAGAGAAGAAATATAAAAGACGGGATGTGCAGTAGCTATGCAATGCAAACTATCATGTCCAGATGTGAGGATACAATGCAGTATGCATCTCTACTTCCAGACTAAAGATGGACTCTCAATGAAACTGTTTACTATATCTTGACGATAGGATGCTATACTCTCTGCCATTGTCCATACCTGTAATGATGAACTTATGACTGTTTATGAAGAAACATAATATTGTAATAATATAGGGAAACTCAGTGGAGGGAGGGGACTTAGAAAGGGGATAAAAAGGAAATCCCACGGCCAATATAACCATAAATGAAAAAAATTAAAAGATTTTTTTAAAAAGACTTTAAGCCTCCTGGGTAAGTACTTAAAGAAAAATTGTAGAGTGCTATGCTCCTTTCCTAGTTATTACTAATTCAATTAACTTGAAGTGAATCCCAGAAAAACCTAGTGTCCTGATAATTACTATGTTTGGCCAGATTTTTTAAAAGCAGTGATATGATGCAAAGTAGAAAAGAAGGAAGGAAGGAAGGAAGGAAGGAAGGAAGGAAGGAAGGAAGGGAGGAAGGAAGGAAGGAAGGAAGGAAGGAAGGAAGGAAGGAAAGAAAGAAAGAAAGAAAGAAAGAAAGAAAGAAAGAAAGAAAGAAAGAAAGAAAGAAAGAAAGAAAGAAAGAAAGAAAGAAAGAAAGAAAGAAAGAAAGAAAGAAAGAAAGAAAGAAAAGAACAGAACCGAACCTGAAGAAACCACGTTGGGCCCTAGAGTTCCTTCACTTCACTCTGTCCTTCAGAAACACTCTGAAATGTTGAGGCTCACCCCCAGTCTCAGGACAATTCTCCAGGATACATCGTTACCTGAGTCCAGAGCAGATGTTTAGTGTCACCGATGATCTGGGAAACTCTTTACTATGCCCTTGGTAAAAGCAGTGATCCTAAAAAAGAGGCATGAGACACATTCATAAATAGCTTACAAATTAAGACATCAGTTTTATCCTCACTTCCTCGGTATCACGAAGCATTTTAAACTCAGCTATTATCACAATGTTATTCATCTGCAGTGCGTATTATTTGTTAGTTGGATTCGGTAAGGCTAAGGTCTTAGCCTCATCTACCTATGAATAACCATGATTATCTTCTATCATATGATTGTTACTAAATTTTATCTTTCACGTCCAACTTTTCTGTTGACATTTGGCTTTCTCAATATTTTTTCCTAAGTGTATAATTTATGCCTTCTTAATCTTCATGAAACCATTCCATTGTGGTCCACTCTACACTTGTGGACGAGCTTCATAAGGTGCTGTGAGATCCCCAACAAAAACTGCAGATGAGCCACAGACCACAAGGCTGTGAGTCCTGAGAAAGCAGGACAGGTGACGACAGCACACCTAACTGAAACTGGGAATCCAGGACTAGTGCTGTGGTGCAGCACGTTAAGCCGCTGCCTGTCACAATGGCATCTCCTTTACAGCAGAAGATGGATGAAGTGTTTAGGTTTCCACATCCACATAGGACACCTGGAAGAAGCTCCTGCCTTCAGCCTAAACCAGCCCTAGAGGGTGTGCTCATTTTGTGAGTGAACAGTAGATGGAAGATTCTTTTTCCTTTTAGCATTCTCCTCTTTTCGGAGCTCTGCCTTTTATAAAAAAAAAAAATGTTTAAAGAGAAAAAAAATGGGACAGCCCCCTCCCTTGTAAGACAGGGCATTGACATGGCAGCAGCATCTACATAAATAAATTTCATCAAGATCATTCTTCATAGGAAAAAACATAAAATCACAAAGATGACACAAGAAAATTAGCTTTTATATGGGCATCCAGGTGCGTAACATGGCAGACCTGTCAAATACAGATTTGAAATATGCTATAATAAGGCTGCATCAGTGGGCAACTTGGATTTTTAAATAACATAAAGAACAGACAGAAACTCAAGCAGAAAACAGAAGCCATAAAATGAGAAAAGGAAAACACTGAGTCATAAAATCATCAAAGAAAGAAACAAACAAGAACACTCTTGTGTGGGATCTTTCTACCTGTTGTTGATTTTGTATTGTGGCTTTTCATTTAAGGGGATGTCCAGAACTGTAATAGAGATTATCATATCCAGATGTGAGGATACAATACGGTATGCATCTCTACTTCCAGACTGAAGACGGACTTCCCAATGAAACTGTTTACTATATCCTTTTTTTGTTTGCTTGTTTACTATATCTTGACAATAGGATGCAGGACTCTCTGCCATAGTCCATACCAGCAGTGATGGACATGTGACTGTGTATGAAGAACTATACTATAGTAATGATACAGTGGAACTCAGTGAGTAGGGAGGGGAGTGGGAGAGGATAAGGGAAATTCCAAGGCCTATGGAACTATATCATAATAATAATAAAAAAGAAAATGATAGAGCTCATTGCTTTCCAAATTCCTTCTATGAGGCCAAAACCACTGTAATTCCAAAACCAGAAAAGCAATATAACACAGAAGGAGAACTATGGGACAATATCTCTGATAAATACAAATGCAAATACAAATTCACCCAGACTAAATGAGACTTATCCCTGGTGTGCAAGAATGGTTCATCACACAGAAATAAATCAATGTGATTCACATTAACAATGAACAAAAACTGTTTGATTATCTCAATAGACAAAGAGAAATATTTTGATAAAATAAAACATTCAAGAGAAAAAAAACAAGTAAATTTGGTATCAAATAATCATTTCTCAACACAAAGTAATATATAAAAACCCAGAGCCAACATTGTATTCAATAGGGAAAGGCTGAAGCAAATTCCATCAAGATTCAGAACCAGACGCGAGAACCCACTGTCACCACTGTAATTCAGTATGGCCCTGGAAGTTATAGCTATAGTTATTAGGCAAGAAAATGAAATCCAATGGATACAAACTGGAAAAGAAGACATCCAGCTGTCACTGCTTGTAGATGACATGACCCTCTAATTGAGAAGACAAAAAAAAAAAAACCAAAAAAAACTATTAAGGGACTGTTGGAACTTGGGCTCAGCATGATAGCCTAATGGCTAAATCCTCACCTTGCATCCACCAGAATCCCATATGGGCACTGGTTTGTTTCCTGCCTGTTTGGACTATCCTAAAATTCGCCAAGTTCAGTAAAATTTGTGCTTCAATACTATAAGCTGCTAAATATAAAAATGAAATTAGACACGAGACAACTGAATAGTACCCTATAGCCATTTTAAGGTGTACAGCAGCCAGTGGTGTATAAACTAAAATTGAAATGTCAATGAAGGAGTCACAGGAGGTGGTTAAGAACTTGCAATTTCTAACATATTGATCACTCAATACCATGTCAATTAACTCCATGTCAATTAACTCCAGAAGATGGAAGAACTTTCTCTCTGTATCTCCTTCTGTCTGTATATATTCCTTTCTAATTAAAAAATAATAATTTAAAGAGAGACTATCAGAACTCATAAGAGAGTTTGGCAAAGTTGCAGTGTATAAAATCAGCATATGAAAATCAACAGTCTTTGTATACACAAACTAATGCTTGGCTGAGAATAATTTCTACAATCATTTCTGCTTATAATAGCTGCACAAAATTTTATATACCTTGGAATAAGGGTAACCAAGGATGCAGGAGGTAATAAAAAATAATAAAAAATCACAAAGCATTAAAAGAAGAAAAAAAGACACTAAAACATGGACAAACCTTCCATGTTCATAAATGGGTAAAACTAACGTCACCAAATGTCCATGCTACCTCAAGTGAGTCAGAAACACAGTGCAATCCCAATCAAAGGACGAATGACATTCGTCCAGATCTAGAAAAGTTGATGCTGAAATTCACATGGAAACACAAAACACTGTCAATAGACAAAACGATCCTTAGCATAAAAAAGTTGGGGGCATCACAATACCATATGTGAAATACCACAAGGCAGTTATAATCAAAATAGTATGGTGCTGGCACAAAACCAGGCCTGAAGATGAACAGTTCAGAATAGAATCTCCAAAAATGAACCCACACAGCTAAAGCCAACTAGTTTATTCATTCATTCATTCATTCTTTTTTTTAAAGATTTATTTATTTTTATTGGAAAGGCAGATATACAGAGAGGAGAGACAGAGAGGAAGATCTTCCGTCCAATGATTCACTCCCCAAGTGATGCTATGCTGATCCGAAGCCAGGAGCCTCTTCTGAGTCTCCCATGCGGGTGCAGGGTCCCAAAGCTTTGGGCCGTCCTCGACTGCTTTCCCAGGCCACAGGCAGGGAGCTGGATGGGAAGCAGGGCTGCCGGGATTAGAACCGGTGCCCATATGGGATCCCGGGCGTGCAAGGCGAGGACCTTAACCACTGCGCCACCACGCCAGGCCCCATTCATTCATTCTTATTGGAAAGGTAAATTCACAGAGAGAAGAAGAGACAAAAATCAATCTGTTGGCTAGCTCCCCAAGTGGCTACAACAGCTGGAGCTGAGACGATCAGAAACCAGGAGCCAGGAGCTTCTTCTGGATCTGCCACACAGGTGTGCAGGGTCCCAAGGCTTTGAGCAATCTACTGTTTTCCCAGGCTTCATGCAGGGAACTGGATGGGAAATGGGGAAGCCGGGTCATGAACTGGCGCCCACGAGATCCTGGTGCATGCGAAGTGAGGATCGTAGTCACTATGCTACCGTGTCAGGCCCAGCCAACTAATTTTTACAACTGAACTAAAATAATCCCAAAAGGAAAGGACATTATCTTCAACCAATGGTGTTGGGAAAATTGAATCTATCTGTGCGGAAGTATGAAACAAGTCCCTATCTTACATCTTTTAAATAAGTAAACTCTAACTGGATCAAAGACATATATATCAAGACACCATCAAAATACTGGAACAAAATTGTGTGGAGACATTGCTAGACACAGGTGTAGACAAAGACTTCTTGGGAAAGACACCAGAAGTACAGAAAATCAAAACTAAAATTAAAAAAAATCATGGGATTACACCAAACTAAGAAGCTTTTGCACTACAAAGAAAATCATAAAATAAGGTGAAGAGACAGTCAACAGAAGGGGAGAAAATATTTATAAACTTTGCAACTAACAAAGTGTTCAAGTCCAAGATCAGTGAAGAGCACAAGAAACCCAACGGTGACAAAACAAACACTCCAGTTAACAAACAGCCAAAAGACATGAACAAGGATTTCCAAAAGATGAAATTCAAATGGCCAACAGATATGAAAAATGCACAGTTTCGCTAGCTTTCAGAGAAATGTAAATTAAAACCACAGTGACATTTCACCACACCCTTGTTAAAAGGGCTAACATGTGAACATTCCAAGAGAGTAAATGTTGGTGAGGATAGAGGGGAAAAGAATCCTCTCTTGGTAGGAATGTAAAATAGTGCAATAATTATCAAGACAGTATGGCGATTCCTCAAATATCTGAAAATGGGTCTGCAGTATGACCCAGCAACCCTCGTATGGAGAATTTGTCTGAATGAGATGAAGTCATATTTATAGCAGCTGAGTTCACAACAGCTTAGAAATAGAATCAACCCAGCCACCCATGAAAGGATTACAAGATGAAAACAAACACTGAATACTAACTCACTTGTAATAACAAATGCCATTTTTTTGTAATTAAATGGAAGCAACTGGAAGCCATTATGCTTAGTGAGAGGCCAATTTGAGAAAGATTAATATCATCTGTTTTTCCTTATCTGTGATGACGAAGTGTAAAAACATTATGCAGAGGTACTAGAGTTACACTCTAGAATTTAACTATTGCAAACATCCTTTGTTCATACGCCTGAGCAACTGTAGGGTTTTTGGTTTTGTTTTGTTTTGGTTTGGTTTGGCCTTGATTTTTTTCCCTGCTCTTTTTTATTATTTGCTACTTGCAATTTGGTGATATCATTACCTAATGAAGTGTTAAATGCCTGAAAAAATATTTTTCAAATAATTT